TGAGCCTCTTACCTTTGTGTACTAAACAAAATTTAGTGAACATGTATGATATTTTTATGAAAAGAAATTCCTACATTTGTCTTTTACTTGGCCATTTTAAGACTGCCTGTTTTTCATATACAGTTCAGTAATCAAATCATTGTATGAGATTATCTGATTCAGGAAGCCTGCCTGCATCCTTCCTAGCTTTGGCTAATATATTCTAAAAATACAGCTATGTAAAAATAACCTGCAGTTTCAGTATATGCAGTGCAACCTGTTATCCTTGTATACACTGACTTTTAGGCTCTTGACCCAACTTTTAATAGTGATTATAGTACTTAGTAGAGTGATGCATGATTCTAACAAGTCTGGTTTTTATCAGTCACTGTGGCTGAAATATCCTGGTTTGGCAACAAAAAAAGATATAAATCGAAGATAAATCACCCCTCCCCCTCATTCAGCAAAAACTCTTAGAAATTCAGCTGAATGCAAGTAGAATCCTATAAGTATTAAAATTGTGGAGCCTTTTGCTATGGGACACTGATGCTGAATTAAGTCATCGACAAGTGACCCCAATTATTTAGATGGGTCACCCTGGCTGTGCTGTGGACGAGGCTGGTGCTAAAGTCACTGACTTGTTTAGCCTATCAGTGCAGCTGTACCTGGTGTTCGGTCCCAATCAGGGCAGCATATGTTGTGTACATAACACCCAGCTGTTTAGGCAGGTAGACTGTAGCATGTGAGAGACGCATGCAGGTACAGTTTATACGTACCCTCTTTCTCCACGTATAACAAGCCTTTGTTCGTTTCTTTGGGCTGGATAACATTAAATGTATTCTGTGGCATGTAACTGTTTGGCTGTAACTGATTGTCTTTGGCCGTGATGTGAGATCAAGGAGTTCAGGCATCATATAGCTGTATCAGACAGGGTCTGCCGGGACTGGACTACATGAATTCAGGGTGGCTAGATGACAAATTGAGATGTAAGTTTTCCTGAATTACAGGGTAAGGGGTATATACATCACTTAAAGGCCATTTTATGTGATAAATTAAGTACTGGTACTGGTGTGCATGCAAGCACTGAGGGGTGATTTTATACTGGAAGGGTCCTCTTATTTATGTGAAAGCTGAATATTGTGTAGCACTCCTACAGTGAATTCAGGTCTTTGTGTAATGTGTGTAAGTGCTTAAAACACCTAAATCAAGTGGGAAATTAATTTGACTGGATAACAGTAGCGGGCACTTAATTGAAAGATCATTCCATTGTTTGTGAAATATGCTTAACGTGTAAGACTGGTTGATATGTAAATAGAGCATGTGTGTTGAATCTGTTGATGTCTGGTGACTTGAAATATAATCCCCTCAGCCAGTCCAAGAGATAGGGATGAAGAATGAAAATCCCTGCCCCTCCAAACATAGTTTTTTTTTAACCAAATTGTGCAAGGTAAAGTACTAGTAAGTGGAGTACATCTAAATAGTGTTTTTTTCTTCACCAAGTTAACTAGGATTTAATGCTGGTGTACAACAAGCTGAATGCTCTAAATGAATGTTCTTCATTGAAAGACCATGTGGTCTCTATAATTATTCTGCTGTTCTTCATCTAGAGAAGGTGTAGGGTTGTACCTGTGGTTAAAACTGGGCATAATTAGAAAGCTTAGCTGTGAATGGCAGCTTTGTTGAGTCAGTTGGTTATCACTTGTAAGAGAAGTAGTGGTAGTTTGTGGTCTCCGTTCAAGACAAAGGAGAGAGAGAGAGAGTGAACTGACTCAATCAGAGCAGGTGTGGTACAGCTAGTACAGTATACAATAGTACAGTACATAATCAGAGTAGGAGAACAATGGACGTTCTACAATAGCGAGGACACAGGGAGGTTACGTGTAAAGCAACCAGACGGGTCTTTGGATTGACTTCTATGCTATTTTCCTTCAGTTTTGAGCAGCATGAAGTCTTCGACTAATAAAAAAGGTATGGTGTGTATATATAGCATGAGTTACTGGGAATGCTTATATTTGGAAACTCCTAAAGTACACAAATACGAAGAGAGATGAACTACAGTGTATAAGAACCATAAATAGAAATTAAGTAGAAGTTAAAAGACTGAAAACTGGTCAAAAAAAGAATCTTTCAACCTATCCAGCAAATTTCAGTGTCTTTTGCCATGGATAGTTAAAGGTGATTAAAAATTGTTCAAAAGGTACAGCTTTGGTAATATAGACAAAGAAAAGAAGAAATAAAACCACTATCGGACTGTATTATGATACCAGTATGAAGAAGATGTAGAGATTGAGGGTCAGAGGTAAACTAGGCAAAGTAATTACTGAAATAATGTAAGAGTAGATTATAAATAATTAGTACTGTATGTCAGTGAAACATGCCTTGTTTAAGGATTAGTTTACTTTACATAGAATTAGGATTTACTTAAGCCCTATTTTCCTGATGGGACAGAATTTAATACTCTTAATGGTGAGATACACCAGCAATTATAATGAGCTTAGCATCCTTTTGTGCCTTAATTAGTAAAAATAGGCAGTAATTGGCCCACTAAGCGGTGTCTTATTCAGCTGCTGTGGTACAAATAGGGTGTTTTGAAGGGGCATGCACTGCTTTGTATATAAACCATCTGTTTTGTAAAAAAAATGTTATGCTGGTTTTATGACAAAACAGAATGAGTCTGGCTGAATTAAGGCAGTTGGTATTGCTTAAAAATTTTCATTATTTTATATTTGTTATTATTCTTATTTTATTTAATCTTTTTTCTTGGTGGGGGAGGGTTGTCATACATTGTGATAGGTAGGCTTCCATATGTGCATTACAAAAGGGTGCTGTGCAAATGAAAACCATACGGTGTATGATGTGTCTACTAATTGATTTGAGCTGGATTTATTTACAAGGCTTTTGTCAGTCTCATTGTGGAAGTCCTGTTTACTAAAAAGTGGGATGGCTAGTTAAAAGAAATGGGAAGGTGAAAAATAGATATCAAAGATTATATTAATGACTTATATTCGATAGAGCCATGAACTTACAATAAAGATCAGTAACAGCTAGAGCATAGTAGTCAGTTAAGTATAGTTATAGGCCCCATTCCCAGAGATTAGATCGATTCAACTAGATCGACCTAACTCCCTGGGGGTTCACGCTAAATAGCTGTCAACCGAGCAGGCACAAAGTTAATTACCCCCTTGCAGCATGTAGTAGGCGGGACGGACATTTAAGCCGGATTATCTGACAGTAATCTAGTGAGACTCCCCACGGGGATAGATCGATCTAAAATCTATGGGAATGCACTCATAGACTGCCATCAGTTCTTAAGCACTTACATTTTGAGATACAACAAAATTAAGCCATCATCACAAAGTTTTCGGGTTAAAAGTAAACTATATTTTAAATACTCGTCTGGTAATTTTAAAATGTACAGTTTTGGGATAAGGCTTACTTAAGGATACCGGGCCCTGTTTGACTTCCTCCCATTACTGATGGGTGAGCTGCATCACTTCACGTAAAGTTTGTTTGATCCATGTCTGTTTATTTGCACGCACTGAACTTGCCAAATATTTAGTGAAAAATTCTCCTTTCACTGATTAAGCCAAGGCAGTAAGTGCATTAAGTGCTCATGTCGGTATTATTAATGAATTGGCAGCTAGCTGGGGTAAAGATAAAAAAGGAATGTAAGATAAGGAGAAATACATGAATATCTCTTGGAATTTTTGCCAATTTTACAATGATAACAGACAGTGTTGCCATTGCTGTACATTTTGGATAAATCTACTCATTTTCTAGTGTCAGTTCTTTTTGGGATAAGTTTGATTACTCTGAATGGCATCCTTACGAAGAGGATATTGAGCTGCAGAAGAAACTCTTTAACCTTTCAAACGCTGCACCTCACATCCAGACTTTTTCATCATATGAGATATAGTTACAAACAATGAATAACTGATTCAATAAATGGATAACGGAAATTAAAATATGATTTGAATTCAGTATATTATTTGTCTTACTAAACTTTTGTATTGATATGTTAAATTACAGATAATCTTGTCAGTTTGTCAGTCAGTAAATACCCCTTCTGCTGAAGCTGGTTTTTGATGCCTTTGTCTCACTGCAGGGGGGTGTTACATGTCAGCTGATATGATTTAAGATACATAAAATGTATTCCTTTTTTCCATTAAAATCAGAAATTTGTTTTTTTTTCCTGGCTGTTTCCATACCTTAAGCAAGTTCTAACCCCCCCCCCCCCCCTTCATCTTGGTCACAGTACCACCAAATCATTCTTTTTTCCTTACAACCCACATTCGTGTCTGCTTCATTTGATTAACTTGCTCTGTGAAGTGATATTAATTTTACCTTATAGAATTACACTGTTTAGTTTATAATGAGGATGGTTATGAGAGTAGGTGTGGTTTATGCTTTCCATGCAAAGTGCAGTGGATAGTAAAAAAACATCATTTTTATTGGGTTTACGTGAAAGATAATACACTGTCACCTGAGACATGTATGCCAGTACATGTAGAGCTTCACAGAGAGGTATTCAAGGCATATATTGCAAAAGGGTGGCAGTGTGTGATTTGACTACATACTGAAAGAAAGCACTTGCATTTTACTGAAAAACACACCAAAAAAAAGGAATAAAGCATATATCGCCACAGTCACGTAACATCTGTAGGTATGTGTAGTGCAACATCAAGAAAGTAGCATCCAGTTTCTTCTGCAGCTCAATAATCAAACTGATCCTAAAAAGAACTAACACTAGAAAATGAGTAGATTTATCCAAAATGTATAGCAATAGCAACATGACATTTGACTCCGTGATATGTGTGTTTGTGTGTGAGGGGGGTGTTAGTCTATGCTTGTTTGTGTGTATTTGTGTACAAATGAGTACATATATGTATCTGGTTGTATATGTATCTGTATTTGGTTGAATCCTGTTGTTCGTTGTTTTTTACACACACCCTTTACCCAAGGCAAATATTCTTGTAAGTATGATTCTGACTCTATATCTTTGATCACTTTTGTCTCCTCAGGTGAAGACACTCCACTCATCTCCGAGGCAACGCCAACAGCTGTGGAGAAACAGTTACCATGGAAACGAAATTCTGGTCGACAACCAATATCTTCATCCTTGACGCACAGCCTTCCAGATGACGACATTCCACGAATGAGTGAGTGCCCATCTTGGGTAGACAACCTTGATTACAATCACATCTCTTCGTCTCCTGCCGCTTCACTGAACATCAGCCCCAACAATTCACGGAGCATGCCTGTATTAAGTGTGGTACAACAACTAATGCAGCCTGCAGTCCTCGAGGAGGAAGAGGATGAAGGGGACACAGTTGCCATGACAACAGAAAACAGTGATAAGGATGTTAACAGTGACATGGTGGAAAAGGTTGTGTTTTCAGCTGGAAGTGAGCATGAACATGAGGGGAATTCTGGGATAGCAGATGCAAGTAAAGAGGAAAAAACGGATGTATCTGTGGAAAAACAAAATGAGGTTGAAGAAAGTAATGGTGGTTTGTCATTTTCATTACCATGGCGACGTCAAGATGATGAAAGTGATCAAGGACCGGTAAGATCACCATCTGCCAGTCACATAGTAGATTCCTCTCAGAACTTCGCTCCTTTACCCTCCAATCGCAGCTTTACACTTAGTGAACGTGAGGAGTGTCTGGAATCCAAACACTTAAAACCCATCAACCTGCAGTCTGTGATATCATTGCCAAAATACAACGACACATATCCAGATAGCCATGATGTGTTTTTAGAACAATCTGATGTGCTGAAAAGTCTACCTCAGTCTGATGATCTTGATCCAGACGACCGTATTCACAAGTGGTTACAACATTCACCGGATGACCTTGGGTCAGAGGAAGAGGAGGAGATTGAGGAAGAAATGAAAAAGAGGAACAAGAAATGGGAGGAAGGGGACAATGAACCTTTGGAAGTTGTCGTTGTCCCTAATGTTGATACCTCATCTGCAAACAACTGTGATAACACAGGGGATTCCACAGCGAGTGAAAAGAACTGTATAGATTCTTCAAGAAATGGAAGTAAATCCAACATTGGGCTTAAAATGGACAAGACAGACCCAGTTAAAAGTGAAAATAAATCCAGCTCGGGGTTTGTGTTAGACTGTGGGGAGGGGCCCACTGCCATTATAGTTGTAGATGACAAGAGAAAAGATCAGACGGAAAATAAGGAGAACGATGCCGAGACATATGTATAATATTGTATAAATTTAGTTTGTACAGTATTTATTTTAAAACAATTAGATTGGATAGGTACTATTTATTTATTAAGGCATTTAGTTTGTATAGTGTAGAATATCTTTGTGTTAGTAATTTATTAGCCATTCATTCTCGATGTTAGTATATCTTGCTAAGTTGGTATTTTTTTTTCTAATTTTTTTTTATTATGATAAGTTGCATTTTTGAAATTTTACCCAACAAACCATAACATGTTTTGAGGCAAATTGGGGTTTCTGAGTGAAATGGTTTTCTGGTAATAGAATATTTATATTCTTATGCAAGAGAAAGAGAAATTGCATAAGTACACAAGAGGTGGTTTCTTGTAGACAGGTAAGTGGATAAGTGTTTGTGTGTGTTGTGGCTTCAGACGATATCTTGCATGGGACACAAGGAAATTAATTTTAGATTAGATTTTAGCAAAAAAATAAATGTTGTTTTGATAAATTTTCCATTCTACTAAGAATATATTTTCTTAAAGTAATCTATGGCTTGTGTTAGAAACCAAACATGCATCCAGCTTTAACCTTCATAATTATCAAGCATCACATCTCTGTCAGACAGTTACTGAAGGTCAGAAAATAAGTCTAGGAGATTCCTAGAAATGAGGTAAGCGTGGGTGACAAGTCATGTGAACTTGAATGCTCGATATTCAAGGAAAGGATGACTTCCATTTACAGGAAATGCAAATGCTCTAGGAAAAGATATTTGCCCTCAGCTTTGTGCATATATTCTGGGGAAATATCAGGTGTCATTAAGCACATTTTCACAACGCGTGATATTTTAAATGATGCAGGTATATTTCTATGGCAGATGTTCACTTAAGGGCTGTTCTTACCAAGTAATAATTGCATGGGTCAGATGAGAACGTTGCCAGGTGAAGGTCAAAGTTCAAGGGTCAGAAGGTCATTCTTTACTTTAAGAGAAGTTCTTATTGGGACAGGATGGATCATACTGTATAATGCAGCTCTTGATTCTGATGCTTAATGGCAGTGAAGAAGTGACGCACTACACAATATGTTTGAAAGAAATTAACCAATTAATGTGCTTTTCACCGACCTGCTGAAATGCTGGGAGCACTGTTGTACTATATTATACACATAGTACAACAGTTTATAATACACAATTTAGTTAAATCTTTCTTAAGTCTAAAGTGACCCAGTGACATCACATGAAGGCAAAAGTGAATGTTTGTGTCACTAGCTTTGTGTAGAGTGTGGAAAGTCGTTGGAAGGGTGATTGTATTTTTTGATGACACGTGTACAGCTTACCTCATAAGAACTTGCTTTCTGACCTGTATCCAATTAACTTTTCAGAATTGTAGCATTTTTTTTTCTGGATAGGACTCGCACAAAGCATTGTTTTGAAAAGTAATATACATCACATTGTTTTTTAAATTAATTCTGCAAACACCTTTTGATAGGACTTGCTACAGGAAATGATAGGAAACATTATTCTGTCTGTGCAATGAACTTGATGTTGGTGTCAGAATGTGCAGAGGAGGCAAGTATAATTAATACATATTCCCACTCACTGAACAGTTAATTAAGTGTTTTTTTTTTCATTCTTCAGGAAACTAATTTTAAGACTTCAAGATAGCAGTAAATGTGATATATCTTATATAATTAGTAGACATAATATAAATATAGGTAAATGGGTAACTTGGAGAGGATAACCTTCTGTATGAAGTGTCCTTAATGTCTGGACATACTTGAATCTGGTACTAAAAATTGTGAGGATCACACTGATTATATTATTTATTGATATTTCAAATAAGTTATATATTCAGTATTTTTTTTTCAAATGATTATGTATTTAGCTTATGTGGTTAGATTTAAGGACATCCTGTACTTGTTATGTATGAGAAATTTATTGGAAGAGAAAACCAGATTTTTTTCCAAATAATTTTTGTTTGAACTACCTTTTCTCTTTTTTGTGTTTTTATGTGTTTTTAAAGCCTGTACCTTCAAAGTTTTTTGCAAAATAAACATGACTGAAAAGAAACATATAGTTTATTATTTTTTTTTTTCAAAATTTGAATACATATATAAAAGTTACTTATGGCATGAAATTGAATTCAGAAATTCCAATCCAAAAGAGATTTATTTTATGATTTTAAATTAATATTTATCCATGTAGAGTATTGAATGATTTTATCTTCCTAACACTGTAAATACTCAAATGACTTACAATTTTCAAGGGTTCCTTTCTGCATTACTATAATTGTAAAGCCATGAAACTGATAGGCCTCCTAGTAGATATTTTGTCTACTTTTAATTAAAACTGATTTGCATTCATGAACAAGACCCTCTTTGTATGATAAAATCATTTCCTTACTCCGACTACAATGATATGCATTTTGGCATTCATCTAGTCACCTACTTACACAGTGATTTGATTTAGAGTACAACCTTCATTGTCGCAAGCAGTCTAATAAAATTTCCACCAATTTCTATTGTAAAAATTTGTGATGACTATTTACAACAATCATTAGTTTTCTTTTGTTCTTCAAACAAGTCATTTAGTAGATGCCAATTAGTCATACATATATACCAAATAATTCATTTCCTACACTGTTCATTCACAGTATTATTTAGTTTTGAAATTAAATTAATAATCACTTTTTCATTTAGTTTGCCTAATAGTGTGTGGATTGTTAGAGCACATTTGATAAATCCCAACTAACACAATCCTACTGTTACTCGTAGAAAAGCGTATTTGCTATAACTAATTACACATATTGGTATTGAATAATAATTTTATTTTATATATCAAACAAACATTTTTCAACACTTTTAACCAATTTTTATTGCAATGTGTGTCAGTATTCAATTACCTCATATGCAAATAATCATAAAGCTCATTATCAATAATAACAACAATAACAACATGAAACAAATAAAGAAAAAAAAAATGCAAAATGTATAAGCATCTGAATATACCACTGAGTGCTGCTTTCTATTATTTACCACACAGTCATAATGTTCACTTAATAGATCTACCTGAATGTCTCCAAGGCAATACGTACGAGCAGTTTTCACAACTCAGAGCAGGTTCTGCCAACTGTAAAGAATAAAGCTAAAAAGTTAAAACATTGAAAGTGACACAATTATTTCACAGGTAACAAGTCACCTGTAGTACAATATAAAAGAACTTGCAGCACCATCCTTTGGCCACCATATTAAGTATAATAAAATCTTCCTCTGTAACATCACTTTGACACTTATAAACTCTACCATACAGCAGCCTTGAAGATCTGCAACATTCTGCTTTAACTAGGAAGTACCTTAGAAATGTGTGGAAAGGTAATCTCGTAAAAAGGGGAGAAAATTTGGTTCACTTTTATTGCATAGTTAATTTTTATATTTTTATTAAAAGCATCTGGCCTTCAGTTTTCTTTGGTAACATTAGGTGATCTCATGACAGTCATTTTAGTTTTGAGCAAATATGTTTTTTTTTTTGTTTGATACCCTGTATTTCCCATATATTTCATTGAAATTCAATTTTCATTTATAAGGCAGCAATAATAGAATGATTTTTATGCCCGTTTTCACCTAAAGCTATTTACGAGTTAAAGGGCCATATATGGCTACATACAGGGTTAGATAAAACTTCTACTACACACTGCCTCATCTATCACCTACTCATTATCTGAACTCATTGAAACTGACCCAGGGGCTACAGTTTTCATAAAACTTACCAGAAACAATACAACAAGAAATGCAACTCCTAACATACATTTGCTGATAGCATTCTACCTTACAACTTTTTTATCACAAACACAAATAGAATTTTTCTATAAAATTATTTTCAGGATGCAAGGTTTTTTTTAAGTTAAAAATTTCACATACATTAAATTCAAAAGGCTTTAAAATTGTAACTTATAATTTTTCCAAAAGTAATTCAAAAGAAAAACATGATAAATTTTAAGATGTGTGTAAGTTTTATAAAAAAAATCCAGACACGGACAATCTCTCCTTATTGTGTCTCGTACATGGGGTAATGATCATCCAGGTTATGCTGTGTGGGCATGTAAGGGGACTTGGGAGCCGATATGCCCACTTTCACAGGGAACCGTCTGCCGGCTATATCGATCTCATACTTAGCATTAGGGTCCATCACCCAGTTCTCATTGATAATATTCCTGTTCCCTGTGTTGTCTGTGAAATCCTGGACATAGCCCAGGCAGATGTGGGATTCGAGGGAGAACCCATAAGCAGCCGAGGTGGTCATGCCGGCAAATTTCCCATTTCTATATATGGGTTCTCCTCCCCAAGGCCAGGGGTCACTATGGTTGTCGTGGTCTTCAACGAGGAGTTGGACAAATCTCTTCTTGATTCCCTCTTCTTTCTGCTTCAGCAGGGCTTCTTGTCCTATAAATGGCTTCTAAAATGGGTAATAAAGATTTTTTTTTTTTTTGACATAACAATGTCATGAACTGTGAAGGGATGAAATAATAAACAGTCCATCTACAGAATATGACTTTTTAAAGGGAATAAAAACATGCATTACAAAATTGCAATGCTTTGGAAACATAAGCAAACAAAAAAAATGTGAAATTTCTCTAACCTGTTAGACAACAATAATTTGGATATTTATCTACAGGTAAACCAATAGGATCGACATGCATATGTGTGTGTGTGCGTGTTTGTGTGTGTGTGTGAGAGAGAGAGAGAGAGAGGGAGGAGAAAAACAGGCAGCATCTTCATCTTACATTCTTTTTCACTCTGAAATCTCTCCCACATTCTAAAGGTGTAGAGTTGGAGTCCAGGTCAATGCCCCAGTAGGCCAGGTACTTCTCTATCCTCAGACTCCTGTGTGCCATCAGTCCCACGTTCTTCAGACCATAGTCATGTCCCGAGCTGATCAGGGTGTCATACACATGGAGGGCATACTGTGGCGAGAAAATCAAATATCACAGTCTTCCAAACTGATATCAGACTAAGGGCTCATTCCCATTGAAAGTATCGTTCTGCATAGATTGATCCAACTTTGTAGGGACTCTCGCATAATGCAATCAGTTTAACATATTAACATGCTGCCTCTTGTTTCCAGTGTATTGCTATTCTGTATATTTAACTCAATGCCAGGAGGAGGCATGTTAATCTGTAAATCTGATTGCATTCAGTGAGAGTCCACACAGAGTTGGATTGATCTACATAGAGTGATGGTCTCATTGTGAATGAGCACTAAGTATCCATGTGCTTTTCCATCATTCAATTTAACAACCTTCATAGCAAATACAAATGCAGGCTTAAAAATATGTCTTCTTTGTTGAAATGAAAATGTGGGGAGAAAACCAAAAATCATAGTGTTTGAAAGCATAAGACTAAATATTCAAGTGTTCTTCTGACATAAACAACTCTTCTATTTAATCAAAATAAAATAACATAAATCAATGTCTTCTTTGTTACAATTAAAACAGAAAAATGATGAAACAGAAAGCTTCTTTACCTTTTAGTATCTAGGGGACAGGAGGCAATGGGGGCAATCTTATTTTTAAACAACAAAAGAAAACAAAACTAATCAAAACCAACCCCTTTTTGTTTATATCTATTTTAAATACAAGTTCCTGTGCCCGTTATTTCATAAAACTGAAGGCATTACCTCTGAAGGTATATACAACATCCAGCCGTCGTCTCCAGTGTGGGTAAGACGCATGGCTTTTATACCACTGGCATGGCCCAGGTACATCGTCTGCAGGAAAAATAGAAAAAGAGCACTGAACTGGGCAAAATATTTAGTAATTGGTAGACCAGAATAGAATAATAGACACTTTTACTGATCACAGCAGAACTAACTGTTCTGACATGTCAGTAGAGAAATCCAAAACTGGCAAATCTCAAAGGAGAGATATTTTAAACTAATAATTTTTTCAAATGCATTTTTTTTCTTGCATTTTTTCCAAGACATCAATTATCTCATGCTTCACTTGTTGCTTTTCAAATTTCTTCTTTAATTTGCTTAAAAACCACAGCTCTTCAGTCATAACTCTTTCAATGATCTCTCTGTTATTCATGTGATAAAACCAGTTTTAACAACCAATCACAAACCTTGACAGTCATGGAGGGGAACTTTGTTATGTGGAGAGGTATTTCTGCCAACTCATGCAGGAAGTCTTTGGCTTTTGGACCAATCACATTGAGTGTTGTATACATGGATGAGACATCGCTGAGGATAACTGAGCCGTTAGCAGGCAAATGCTGTGACAACCAATTGTAGGCACGTGTCTGAGTGGTTGATAGAGATATCATCATATAGCTGGAGAAGAGAAAAAACATGAAATGAAATAAAATGGCCATATTACCTCAGGCTAAACATGGGCGCTGAGCTGAATACCAGACCCCAATATATTAGCAGGCTAAACATAGGCACAAATGGAAATTAATATGTGAAGAAACTGACACTGGGTCTGAAACTCAGGATGTGGACGTTTATTTTACAGATAGGAAAGCTTAAGTTTCTATCATCGACATAATTGTGTTAATTTAATACAAGCATTTATTTAGACACCAAGGAAAACTGATTTAGTAAATTCGCCATTATACACAGGGCCACTATCAGCACCCCACCCCTTTCCTGCAATTGATTAGTTCCATACACTGTTCCTCACCAATTCTCTGCTACCCTGGCTAGACTACAGTCATTCTCATAGCCCCCCTTGTGGTTGTGTACCCCTGTATGGATGACTGTACCCACTGGCTTGTCTATGTCATTGGAGCACATCTTCTGGAGAAAGTCCACAACTTCCGTACCCGCAGACTGAAAAATAAATAAATAAATAAAATTTATTGATTGCACCTTTAAATATGTCACTGTTGATTAATATGCTAAACTTTAACACCAGGCAATATAAATCAGCTATGCAATATTGGAATTAAAAACATTTCACAACAGACTGGCCTATAATAACAGCAGCTGTATATCTAAATATAAAGGCTGAGCTAAGGTTGTTTGAGATTCTTCGCCAGACCAGGCCCTGGCAACATATTGGCCTATATTAATAATACAATACTTACATGTAATAACTACAAAACAACCTGACCACCCTATTGCTTGGCAGCTAGTTGCAGTCTACACTTACCTTTAGTTCTATCTTGGTAACATAAGACATGTCAAACAGGCCAACCCCTTCTTTGCATGCCCAGTACTCAGACGCCACTGCATCAAACCAAGATGGCCGATAGAAGGTAAGGCGGGGGATGGTGTTGTCAGTGTACTCTTCTGAAATGTCATATCAGGTTACTTTAAATAGTTGTTCTTGTAAATATTCGAAAGTTGATTGGAACGTGTTAAAGAAATGATATCTGTATAAAATGGTTAATTTACTAATAAATACATCTTGTAGAAAGCAGTGCACTAGTGATGCATACACAATTTTCAATATATATCTCTAGTAGAAATTTAAAAAAAATTATAATAATTATCTAATGATGAATAAATATATTTTATATATTTGTTCACAATGATTTTTGTGTACTCCAGGATATTCTTTGGATGCTATTTTTTTTTTTAGCTAAATGAGAGTACAAGTAAGCTAAAGCCATATCCCAGTGTAACTTCACCCAAAGACAGGTCACATGCAAGAGGTCTTTTACAACAGCATTCCAGAACTTGAAACCTTTGACTTTGTCTACAAATGCTGATGTTATACACTAAGTTAGTAAAGCAACACTCTCTACATACGTCATACATATAGTAAAGGCACATTAAGACAATCTCAACAATGTAACAGTTGTATATTTAAAGCCCCAAACCTTTTTAATTGAAAGACATAATATTATGTTAACTCACTACAACATTCAAATTCAAATGGATTTGCACACTTCGGATTTTATAATGTACCTTTACAGTTGAACCCTGGTTAAAAAAGCTATCAGACTATGACACAAAAGTTAACGTATATATGGAATTTTTAACTCATAGCCCAGTTATTTTTCAAATACCTTGTAAGTATTTCAGGTGAGATCATATCTCTGTATGTGCAACATATCATGTGCTTCAGCTAATAAGTTAAGAAAAGCTTATATTAGTAAGAGTATTCCTTCCTTCTCTCTTTCTTGACTTCCATAATCTCCCTTCTTCCCGTCCCCCAATTCTTGGATTCGCCAACTTTTAACTGATAATTTGAATTATCATAATTAATAAATTATCATAGATACCACTGGTTTTCTTCACCAAGACAGGGATTAGTAGCAAAAAAGAGGGGGCTATTTAAGAAATGGAAAATAAATATATATTCTTTTAAATACTGCTGTGTAGGACAATATATATACTAGTATATGACTGTGCTGCCTCCACCACTGCTCTCACATCACACTATATACAGGCTCTTCCTAGACTGGCGTTTTGTCACTAATGGCTTATTTCCTAAATATTTTTGGTTAAAGAAAAAGTTGAATGTGTAAAAGAGTTTACAACTATTGCTTTGCCAAATTTAATTTGACCTAATCAATTTAAGGCATCTGACTCAAATCATTCGTTTTATTTGTGTAAAGGAAAAAAGACTTGAAGTAAAATAAGATATCAAAATCAAAAATAATATTTTTGAAAATATTTACCCATTTCTTTAAGCCAGTAGGATCAAACCAAACCAGTGTCGAAGAGATCCCAGTATACAGATATGATAACAGTACAATATGTACCTGGTTTTAAAAATTTGTAGCCTTTGTAAGCCCCTGAAATGTTTTATTTACACCAATATATTATCTTTTTTTATTATAAGTGAGTGCAACAAGAGATTGACAACCTGTACGTACATGGTGGCTAGTATAAAATGGATTCCCGGTAATTTTCATGAGCAGCATTTATGCAATATATTTACAAATACATATTTACTATCAACAGAACTTCAAATTGTTATTCCAAGCTGTTTTGAACTGAAAAAAAAAAAAATAATGATACCATGAGGAGGTGGATGGCAATATTTATTAAACAAAAGTTAAACATAATTATTATTTCATGATATCATTATATGTGCAGTCATTTATTTTACCTTTTTAAACCTTCATATGTTTAATTGCCTTTCTTTCAGATCTTAAGCAATGACAGTTTCTGAGACTGAATTCCCCTATTTTGTAGTTTGTAGAAATTTTCATCTTGTGAAATCAATCTATAAAGTTTGTGATAAATAAGGAATACTCGTTGTTCAGTCTTCAGCTCCAAGTAATCTGTAATCATATGTTCCTGGCTCAGTTCAGCTGAATCCTGTCAAAAGAGTATCAACTTAAAATGTTAGATCCCTAGTTCAGAAAAAAAAAATGAATACAACTTATTATAATAAACAGTTCTAATTGCTAAAAGCACTGTCTACGGAATATCTTTGATACACATTATCCCCAGCAGCCATAATGCAGAGTTTTCCAAGCTAGGCCAGGCCTGGTACGATCTCACAAAACATGAGCATGCTTCCAATTGGTTGCCTAACATCATGTGACACTGCCCCAGCAAAGAATATCCAATTCCCCTATGACAGTCCTTATGATAAATACGTTCACAAAGATCCTCTAGTTTCTGCAAGTATGCTGCAACTTCTGCCTCCTCTCCACTTTCGTGGGCGCAGATAACACCAAGGAACAGACCAAAGATGGGAGAGTAAAGTGGCAACAGTGTCAGCCTTCCTGTCAGGCAATCTAGGGCAGGGCTTCCACCAGGATTGCCGGCATAAAGAACATACTGAACTGCCTCTGGGAGACAGGACAAATGTGAAAATTTCACAGGGAAATATAAATCCCAACCAAAGGAATTGGTTTTCATTGCCCAACAGAGTAAATCTGCATGATCTGTTATCCCAGATTCATTTTCTAGAAGATTCGTCAGTTCTTGTGGGTAACTATCAAGTGTAGCTGTTTTGTCACAAATGCAAGCTGTAATGTGAAATTTCATATTTTCATGGTCAAGAGCAAACTGAATGTATTTTTTGGCTTTTTCAAAATACATGGCAGCTTCTTCCAATTTTCCTACAGCTTTGGCTGATTTGCCTCTGGAATAATATAAATTTGCAACTTTCAGTCTGCTACCAACTTTGTCCAAATTGACAGCTGAGAGTAAAAATATTTCAGCTTGTCTAAAGTAGGAGTCATTTCCCTGTAGCATTGCCAACTCTTGGCACATACAACCAAGAGACTGAAAACAGAACATTTGAATCAATCTGAACACAAGCCTTCCAACAGTTTTGTTTTTGGTGCTCAAACAAATCTTCTTAATGCGCTTAAAAGACACAGCCATGGTTAAAGGGTCCTCCATCTGAATATCATCTGGTTTTAAGTAAGGTAGGCACTGAATGCCACAGAGCCGAAACTGTAGATTCCCAGTGCCATCTTTTCTTTCCTTCAAGCTGCTTATCATCATTAGAACTAATGAGATATTAACTCTATAACTCTTTATTGCATATGAAAGCAATTTCAGTTGAACATCTGTAGCAGTGTCCAGCAAATTGTTCTCAGGCACGAAGTATACAGGTAAATAACCCTCGTCAACAAAGGACTGGAGTCGTGCCAGACATTCTTTGACACATCTGACCAGACTCCCTCTTTGCCAAAGTTCTGGGGGAGTTTCGTGTACCATCCAAAACATTACAGTTTTCATGTGGTACGAACACAGCACATTTTGATTTTCAAACCTTTCATCTATTTCAGCCGCAATCAATGACTTGATATATTTTAAAATGAAATATGTTCTATGCTGGGTATCATTAAAGGATCGAATTAATGTTCTCTCAGCAACTACAGTGGATATACGCCACTGATATCTTTGACGAGGTACAATACTGTTCTTATGACCAACAGGAACAACATGGCAGCCATCTTTCAAAATGGTGGCAATGTCTGCAGTCTTTGGCCAACCAAATCTTCTTGTACGTCTGAACCATTTTCTTACACAATGGGGCCAGCTGGCAAATGGATAGGCAAGGACGTAATCCATGCTGGTGTCTTTCCTGTTCCCTGATACATTCAAAGAAACAGCTGGGCCTTGTCTTTCAGGACCAAAAAAGGCCATGTGCATTTTATATTCTCGGTAAAATGCATCTGCTGCTACTCCACTAGACGTGTAACCATTTTTGGAATTCAGTTTGCGCAGCATGCCATATCCATCGTGCATACCTTGGCCGTCCCACTCATAAACTTCCAAGGCACGGTTGGCACGTGGGAGGTCATCCTTTTCACAAATAACCAATTTTTCTAACTCACAAACCATGATATCACTGTCTGAGGGGACAGGAATAGCATCAGCATTCAAACCATAGGAGGAGGACTCTCCAGAGCTTCCCAGACTGAACACTCGGTATTTATCTGGGTCATTGGTATACGAGTTGTCAAGGATTTCCCGTAAGTCTATGTCCAAGTAGCTCAACTCAAACTGCTTCTTAGACCAACCAAACCTGTCCAAGCCTTGATTCACTTCCTCGTTCTCCTTTATGCTTTGGCCAGAGGCTGCCATTTTGTGTTTAAATAAAAAAAGAACTGCTAGGGTAAAAACACAAGACTAATATGTTTGTTCTTCAGCACAGCTTTATGTACTGTTACTTCATGATAAGGTCTGTTCTTCTACATGGTCACATTTACCACTGAGAAGTGATCTGATGTAGTTAATGTTTAACAACATCTTTGTCTTTCAACTCCATACTTATATCAACACTAACTATGACATATCCTTCTATGATGCAATCACTATCTTGGTCCAGAGCCTCTGTTTAGGTCCAACAGTAAGATATAGAAGCATGGGACTGATGGGACACCATATGTTCAATGTTACCAAGTTCAAGTCTGTCCATCTCCTATTTTGTCTAGTCACCGATTCCTCTGCAAGATATAACCAGTCCAGTTGACACTTGATCTTTACAGCAGCAATCCTCGTTCTTTTCTTCCCTGTTATTCCACAATGACTGACCCGTCAGTTTTTTCCACAACGCTTACAGCTGACATTCCTTGTTCACTCAAGCATGGATAAACCTCCTTCACAAATCAGCCCATATGGTGATGTGCTTGATACCTTGACAGCTGCTTTCTCTTTAATTCAACCTGTTCTAGGGGCGGATCTAGAGATACTTTCTGATGGTCTTCCAAATAATCTTTGTTGATCCAACCTCCTTTTTTGACCACCCTCTGACAGAAAAAAATAATATACCTGCCAGAGTAAACTTGAAAATCTGACCGTTTTCCAGAAGACGGCCTGAATCCGCCCCTGTGCTCTATCATCAGACTGGGGTTTTTCTCTTATCAAAGTCAACAAAGCTTCAATGTAAAGTAGGTCACAGTTATTGAATATCGCACTTACAGCACCATGACGTCATTGTAAGACCTAATGTGAATGTCTGGCCTTAACAAAAAATCAATACTTTTCAATGCTTAACACAGAAATAAATAATTTAATGTTTTTCAATGCTTAAATAAGTAGAGAAAGTATAATAAAAAACTGAATATAAATGAAAAAGGGCACCTTTATGTAATACTGGGTATATAAATATATCAAGTATATACACAACAAAATCTAACGACATGTTATAACTAATATTAAGACATACTCCTCACAGCTTTCAACAGTCTTGAGCTCTAGCTGTCATGACCAATGTATAATCCTAGCTTCTGTTTGTTCACAAATACACAGTCATGATTTCAGTTACTTGTGTAACTGGTTAAAATGAGATTCAATTTTGTTTCATGCATACGAATGAAAATGGGATATTTACCCACAAATAAGGAAATCTGAAGGAATTAAGTTCTAAAGAGTTCTTACCTTAGATACCGAGGACATAACATCGATGAATATCAAACCATAAAATAAATGACCCAAAATATCAAAAAGGTATTGCTCTTTGCTCCTAGTCTTGAACATTTTTGCAATCAGTATACACTGATTTGTAGTCAATAAATGACAGACTGCAATATGCCTTAACATGTAATATGTAATTACAAAGCAATATCTGGTGGAGATTTATCTATTTATACACTGATATAAAAGTAAGTACTGAAAAAAAACCCTCTTAATGCCATGTCATTGACTGTCAGTAAGAGTTAAAAACAGAGAGCCATGCCACTGAAGAGAAATGAAACATAAATACAGAAATGGGAACAGAGGATGCTAAAAATCTGAAGACCCCCCCCCTCTACACACACACACACACACACACACACACACACACGTGTGTGCGCACACACATCCCAATGAATTTCTTCTGTTTTGGCACATTTCATAAAAAATCAAGCAACTTCTTTAACTCTCTTCTACACATGAAAAGGATATAATCCACACAAAGGGATGAAAATTTCAATCCCTAAAATATCATGTTAGAAAATATAACACTCACAAGATAAAAACCCTGTTTGATGGGGCAGTGTGGGTATTACAAACTATTGCAAATGAAACCAACTTCAACACAAACTTTTCAACCATCAAATTGCTTCAGTGACACCTCAAAGAACAGAAAAAATATCATCAATGTTAATAATGGCACACTTTTTAACCTTTTGTCATCACGTGCAAAATGCTCTATTTGCATTTTGTAAAAACTAAGAGAACAAGCATCATAGATGCAGAACTATCTATCGAAATTTTTTTTCACTTTTTTTCATCAATAAAATTGAAGCAGGATAAAAATATTATGCAAAATCACACACTTCTCAAATAATAACACATCATGCCTTGAAGACATAGCATTAGGCTGCGTTCACATGAAAAATCTATTTTCTAAAAATCTTTTTGCGTTATCTTGTGATCACAGTCTGTGCCCTGAATACACCACGGTGTAATTACTGGCAGGGCCAAGAATTAATTACAGCTTTGGAAGTAACTGGCTCGCGCTGCCCGTTATTACGCCGTTGGGTATTCAGGGCACAGATCATGATCACAGGATACAGCAAATATATTTTTAGATTTTTAGAAAACAGATTTTTCATGTGAACTCAGCACTAGTCTACAAGATTAAAAGAATTGTGTATACTTGTTTTTAAAGGCGGGGTTCTGGCATAAGAGTAGCGCAAGTATTCTTTATCTAAAAAGAAGCAGAAATGTAACTACTTACAATTTATATACATACATTTATATATGAATATGAACATGCTATAGTACATAGGTAAGGATTATTGATAAAAAGGAGTACATTTAATGCCAGTATCATCTTCACAGATATTCATTCTTCATACTGATACAACATATTTCTGCTTGCAAGTTAAAACATAATACAGCATAAATAATGCCCTATAGTTATTTATATCAACTACATATGAGAGTCTTATATTTTAAATGGTAAAAGGTTAACTACTGAAAACACTGCACCCCCCCCCTGCTGGTGGTGAAGGTAGAAATCAAAAGTGAGCTATTTGCTGTAAAAGTACCTCTGTATACTTGAACTATATTCATATGTTACAACTTGACCCATTTGTCCCCATCTCAAAAATGTAAGAACCTTTCCCCAGAGTTTGCCTTCAAACGTAAGTAAATTCAGTTCAACTTTCACATACCAAATCTTTGATTACAACTACCTAAAGGAACTTTCTACTATGAAAGCATGTTAGAATATTTTTAGTTTGGTAAAATCATTCTCTTTTACAAACCAAGAATCAACAACAATACAGTTAAAATGCTCAAGTAATTTGTGATTAATTTACAGAAAGCCAACTAAATACATCTTCACAACTATTACCTGTTCAAAATGGGAGAAATTTTATGAATATAGAATCGGTTTCAAAGGGATCGATGATCAAAATAATGATATAATAATTCAATGATTTCACTGGACAAAGTGGCAAAGCACTACTTTTTCTTACCAAATGGTATCAAAGCTAGCCTAGATAAATACAGGTCAATGGAGCATCAAAAAATATCGATGTAAGTATACTGAAAATTCCAATAATTCTTAAAGATTCATTGTTATTAGACAAGTGACTGTGTCATATTGGAATTCGCAACAATCATTATAATATATAATATAATAATCACTGTGCTTTACCTCTGGTTTGTTCCTCAAAATACAGAGGTCTTTCAAACCCCATGGTGGAACCATACACTGCCCCCTGCTCCAGTAGTATGGGGTAGAGAGGTGAGGTCCGTAACTTCCTGGACGACCTGTAGTCACACTCTGGATACGGTATGCTGTATGTTGTCCCTAGAGGGGAAAGGATTAGTTATCATTTAATGTTTAAATCAATTATTCAGAGATGGGGTATGTAACTTTTAGAATGACCTGTTATCACATTTCGGGTATGGTATACTGAATGTTGTGCCTAGAAAAGAAAGCATTGGTTATCATTTAATTAAAGAGATCTACCTAACACCTCCTTCACCCTGTCTCTCAAAAACTTCTTGTTGTTGTGAAGGTCAACAAATCTCTTGACGTCCACAGCCCAAAGGTCCCAAGTGGGCTCTCCGTTGACGATCCACTCCGCGACGGCGTGGCCAATTCCACCTGCTGAGACGATACCCAAGCTACTCATCCCTGCTGCTACAAAGTACTTCCTTATCTGAAAGAATAGATTTTTATCTGATTATTCTGGTACATTTGGATGATCATTAGAAGCTTTTTGTAAACTTTCAAGGCAATCAGCTGATTGTGCACTGAAGCAGCTCAGATTCTGCCTGTTACATTATATTATAATCTGCAATGAGAGAAAGTAAGCATGCAAAAAATTGTATTGTTATGTATAGTAACTAATTTGCATTCTTCACCTATCACAAAAATGTCAGTGTCTTAATTATCTCTCTCCTAACAACATCCTTATCATGCCACTCTCTCTCACTCTCTCTGGCTCTCTCTCCCACCAATCTCTCTTTCATCTCCAAATCTTTCTTCCCCCATATTTCTATCTGTATAACAGTATTGTTAAATTAATTTTTCCCTTTTTCTTTAACTTGTATTTTATATTGTAGTGTATGAAAAATAATTGGATCTTAGACTCTAAAAAATATCACTATCTGGGGTAGTGCTAACACTCGCCAATTTAGCCAAATGCTAAAACTGACTTAAATTGGCTAAAGAAAAAGGGCTTGATTTGACATGTTTTTGCCAAATTATAACCATTTTGGTAACAAATTGACAAAAATGTGGTGATTTGGCTAAGCGAAAAAAATTGCTAGCGCTACCCCAGACTATAATGTATAATATTATGTCTTTACCTCAGGACATTCTCCCACAATAGCTCTTCCATCTGGGCTGAAGCTTTCTGGACCATTGGTCAGCTGTCGGACCTCCGCTGACTCCATGGCAGGTATTCTGTGAAGAATCTGGTCAAGAAGGATCTCTACAATATGGAACAGAAACTGTTTTCATCAGATGTTACAAATTATGTGAAGAACCTGGTGAAGAAAGAGTTCTACAATATGGAAACAAAAACGGAACAGAATGTTTGGCAAAACCTGGTCTTGGTGGTAGGGGTAGTGTACAGCAACTATCAGTAAAAAGAGTAAAATTTTCAAGATACACAACAATAGAGAATACAGCTGTGTACATTCACTGAGACATTAACAAATTTCTTCTACCAGTTTCTCACGCAACTCAAATAAAATCCAAACTGAATGACACCCAAACTAAAATTAATTACTCGAATCAGCTGAAAAAAAAAGGCTTCTTCAAATTTTTGGTGGTAAATATGACCCACCTACTTTCCTTTCAGTCTATAACATACAGAGAGAAAGCAGAAACATCTGTGCAAATATAATTTTTTGTTAAATGGCAAGCTATAATATAAGACGCCATGGCATGATGCTCTAAATTATGACATAAAATATCTTCCAGCTTACGAAAGTGATCCCAGTCTTCCTGAAGTAATTGGAACTCAAACTTCTCTGGGATGTGTTCGTGGAAGACGGCCTTGGCAGTGGGCTCAAACCCTCCAGCAAGTATCCCTCCACTCCACTCACGGAAATAGACAGCACCATCTGGGTCACGAATAACTAGAAGATAAGAAAGTAAAATAAGTTAGACACTCATTGAAATCAAATACTCAAATCTGCAAGTCAATAATATATTTTCTGACAAATCCTTAAAACTTGGCAACAAGTACAACAATAACAAAAAAAAAAAAAAATCCAAATTCACAGAATTAATGATCAACCAATGGCAGTACATTTGTGATCCCTGTCATATCGAACCCTGCACCTGCACCTATTATCAAAAATGTTAAAACAATTTTAAATTTCTCTATAATAATATTACAACTAACCTGGCATCATAGGATCCACACCAAATGGTTTAGTAACCAGGTGATAGTGTTCACATGAGTGCAGAGGTACTCTAACACGGGGCTCACTTCGCTTCCCAAGTTCACGTCCCCACTGGAAGTAATGCATTTATATCTATTCAGTGTTTATCTATTCTCTGTAATTCCGATTCCCTATCATACTTATACTCAGTATTATACTTATTTTGTTAGTTAGTGTCAATGATTTTTGTATCAAAGGCCAAAGGCAATACTAGTATATTTATTCAACACGTCTGAAAATGTAGTTGCAGTCCACACCCAGCCGTGAACATCAATAACATTTTTATAGGCAAGATCAAAATGTTTTGTTGACTAAAGCTTAAAACAATGAAAGGGAATTTTGTATTTCTTTGGTCTTCTACTTTTTATATGGTCAATTGCTTTAATTATTTTATTCTGGCCTGTAGGCTGAGTGGTCAGGGGGGTTCAAAGAACCAGCAAAAGTCCACTCTGAATTTAAATTTGACCTAGGTTCTAAGACATTTCTCAAGATGGGTCAATTAAAGGAGTAAAAAAAGCTACCTTAAAAAAACTCCAACTTCCAAACTGCTGAATACAGACCTATAATTACTAGTTTACCAAAAAATTACCAGTGGATGTGCTGGATATGTGAGTTTGTTCTCATATTTTCATACCCACCTGCCCTGCACAGTTGACAAAATATTCACATCGTATTGTCCCCAGGTTGGTGTCCACTCCCCTCACTTCCTTGTGTTTTTCATCTGTTAGTACCTGGTTAACTTGGCACTTCTCAATTACCTTAACGCCTGTACAGAGGAGATGAAAACACTTCACTAAATGTTTCAAATTGGCAATGAGCTGACATAACTTTGAGTGACTGACTGATTCTGACTGATATACAATATGGAGCAACTGTTATTCTTATGTGGATGCCAATAAATAAATAAATAAATAAATAAATAAATAAATAAATAAAATAATCTTTAAAGTCTTGATAAAATCTGAGCATGATGCAGAAAAATAAAGATTTAAGGGGTTTCTACCTTTCTGCTTGGCCAGTCTGGCAAATGTATTGACAATGTCACTAGGACTGGCTGCTCCGTCAGTTGGGAAGAACTGGGCATACTAAAAAAGGGAAAGTAAAGAAAATTTAAGCATTTAATTTTGAAAGATTAAAGAAAATTTTACAAAATCAGCAAAATGTTACATATTAAAATACAGAGTTGAAAAAACACCTAACACTTAAAATCTTGAAGTTAAATCCTCAGATATAATAAGCATCCTTGTTTCTTCAAAACTTATTCAGTACTGAGTATCAATAGATCAGGCTATCCAATACAAGGTGTGCATGCAGATTTAACTTCAATAAGACTCTAGCATTTGTCTGAATACTTGTGTACAGGAATACTTCATTTTCTTCTCTGGCCAATTTTCCTTTTTATAACAGAATTTCAACATACTGTATAAACTCATGCCAGTTAGATTTCCAGTCAAAATTTAAACCTATTGAGCCATCAGCTCACCAAGGTGTAAGGGCCTATTCCCAATTTCACCATAATTCTACATAGATCAATCCAACTCAGCAGGTAATATCTCTGAATGCAATGAGTGTATTAGTAACAGATTATTAAATCTCTTCCAGACACAGAATACAGAAAAGCTGTGATTATATGAGTACGTTGGAAATGAGAGGAGGTATGTTAGTCTGTTAACTTGATTACATTCAGTGAGATTCTCTTCAGAGTTGGATCAATCTTTGTACAATTATATTTCTATTGGGAATGAGCCTTAAGAAATATGCAGGGTCAAAACAGAAACAGTGGCCCAAAAACAAGTTAACAAAAATTTGCTGGTCCTGTTTCATCTTTCTGGTATCCATCACAAAGACTGCAGAATGAAGCATCTTAAATCTACCTCAATATCATCTGTCCTCAACAAAGGGGCAAGGTCAAGGGCCTCCTTAGGGGTTATTTCATGGCACTCAAGTCCAATTGTTCTACAAAATACAGAACGCAATTCAAATACATGCATATATCAATCAATCCACTTATGAAATGAATCACATGTGCACATAAATATCAGATATTAATCACTCAAGAAGGGTAGATCCAGAGATATTTTCCGAGTCTTCCAAATTATCTTTGTTGATCCATACCCCATTTCTGACCATCTTCTGACAGAAAAAATTAGATGCATGTCAATGTAAACCTTCAAATTTGGAAGACCCAGAGGACATCCTCCATCCACCCCTGCAAGACACTTAATAATTTTGAAATGAAAGCCCAGAGAGCTCATACAAGTAGTTGCAACTTACTCAACTGTGCAGCAGACTATTATGTACACAAATTTAAATATATGCATCTGGCACCCATGTGTAGTGTACTGATGTTGTGGTGAAATGTTCACCAGGCACAATTGTATTAGTGAAGATCATGAGAGAATGTTGGAGAGGGGGAAAAATTAAAAATAGCTTTTTGGCGACTTGTTGTTGTATATCAATCTAGGGCAATACGGACATGCATGATACTATAACACCACAATTAGAACAGTACATATTAATTGTCTTACTTGGCAACAGCAGCGTTCCTCTTCATGGCCACCATTCTGTCGTGTGTTCTAGCAATGCTGATACTGCCACAGGGTTTGAAGCCTATGAAAACATTGACAACTTGGTCAAAAACGACAGGGAGTTCAGGACATCAACATTTGAACATTTACTGCTGTTTTTTTAAATGAAATTTTCTGACAGCTGTTTTTTTTATTAAACATCAAAACAACAGGAAATAATGGACAGTATTGAAGTTCATGCTCATCTATAACAGAGTACATATGTCAATTTTTTAGGCTGAGTTACAGTATATACCAAGATAAATCTTACTGCCATATTACAATAATGTATTTTATACTATATTATATTAATCATTTACTCTAGTAAGTACAAAAATTGTGGATAAATTTTGATAAATTAAGTGTTGGATTAATAAGTTCTAGTAAACATCATCTGGAATGTAAGTATTAACAAGAAAAACAGTTTTAAAAATTATCTCAGCAAACCTGAAAACGCAGTTTCCTTAACAAATTGCAAGACATTTTTAGGGACTAAGATACATCACTTGTTCTGTGAACTTCTTGAAGCCAATGTCCAATATTTTTCTTTCAAATTTAGTTGCTTGATGGCATTGCTATCCTCAAAAACTCACATTTTTTTGCTATCTGCAACAACATGGTGGTACAGAGACAGGAGCTGTGCCAATGATTTAGCTAAAACTGACCTTGTTTTCATAGCTATCATGGTCAGGAGTCCACCTTCCACTGAACCATTTGTAAATGTTGCTGCCTGTGTCCAGCCATGATGATGTACTTAACAAGTTATTAATGAGAATACAGGGAAAAGTATACATCTATGTATGACTACACAGAAAAACTATGGCCATCTAAGATAAAAAGTTCATAGTATTGAGCAAACAATGGATCTAAGGCTTCCAGAAACACAGAACAAGAGTTTGTAGTGCTCATATTCCAGCCTCATGCAGATGCTGCATCAGTCATTTCTTTCAGATACGCTCAAATTGAGCATGCTTTTAGTGGCAATTATCAAAGCCAAATTCAAACCTACTATCTCAGAACTCAATTAGTTAAAAAATGGCTTCAGCTCAAAAGAGAGAGATGGCAAATGTTTTTTATAATAGCTTTACCGTAATGTCATTTCAATTTCTACCTTTTTGCTTACTAGTAACTGTTTTTCTTTAATATTACTAGTATTTATATTTATTTTTCATCATATTGTGTGGTCCTAGCAGCTCCCCTCCTACCTGTAGCCTCTCCCTGGTCCTCTAACCTTTTATACAGGTCTCGGCTGTACATGTAAAGTTTGTTCAAAGCCGTGTTCCCCTTCATCTGGCCAATCAAGCCAGCAGAATGCCATGTCGTACCACAGGAGAGCCTGTTAGAAAACTGTGTTGTTAAAGCAATAGTACAGCGAGGGATTTGGGTAGTCTGGGATTGGTATATTATCTTTTGGTAATGTGGTTATATATATGAAAGGCATGCTGTATGTGTGTACCATGGTGCAGCAGAAGGGGAGTTTTGAAGATCTTCCAAACTGTACTATTATTTAGCCAGTTAAGTTATTTGGAACACTGGATTCCTGTTTGCTGTACCTTATGTAGAACTGGTGAGAAAAGAACCCGAATTAGTAAAGAACTGTGAAAGGATATGTTAGAAATGAAGTAACCTTTGATAAATTTTCAAGAAAAAAAGATATCCAAAAGTCTCAAATGCAACAACCTTTACCTCCAGAATTGTCATTTTTTCTTTTTGTGAAGCAATATGCAAGCAAACAGACAAGCAAACATGCGAAAAGTTCACAGTATGTGAAGGGACCATGGAGCAAAGAAATGCATGGCAAAATGACATACATCTGGACTTGCATTCTAGTGACAGACTCATCAGTCTTCATTCAAGATGTCAGTGGTAGTAGTAAACAGAGTACAGCAAAAGTTTTAAAAACAAGCAAATACAAGTCAGGCAAGCAAGGTAAGTTATTAGTATCTTCACCCCCTCCCCCCCCCAAAAAAAAAAAAAAAAAATTGAAAGTACCTAGCGCATGGCCAGCATTCTGAAGTTTTTTATACAGCTCACAACTGTAACTGTTTGACCTGTTGACCACAGGGTGACCAACAGACTGGATAAGAACACCTGAGGAGTGCCAAGTAGTGCCGCAAGACAGGCTATGGTAAGAAAACAGGAAGAGATCATGGAGGAATAGTGCATCTTAGCAGACATCATTATCATATACACTGTATATGGTGGCTCTCGAAAATGTTCATATTGAGGTTCAATTACTTCAACAGTTATAAAAGTATTACAATAACAGGCTTTGAATATACATGATATGAGATCCTTACCACCCTGTAGACATAAAAAAGTAAAGAATTAGCTACACATCTGTGGCATGTGTATGATGTAAAGGAGTACAAATTGGCAAACACCCCTGGTGTTATGTGCAATGTGCTCTTACTGACACTATTCAAGGTTACCTATAGCTATGGACATATTCAGCAGAGCATCTTTCCAAGGGGAAAAACCAAAACTTACTTTTTCTTAAACCAATCATGACTCTGCAGTCTCTTAAAAATGCTTTTTAACATTCTTATGCCAAAGTTATTTTATTATTATTATTATTATTATTATTATTATTATTATTATTATTATTATTATTATGTTCAGAGAATATGCTATGAGAGAGAGAGAGAGAGAGAGAGAGAATTTGTAAAAAGTCCACGCTATTAACCACAGACACATCAACAACTTACGACCCCTGCTCCAATAACACGACATCTGACCATCCTAACTCTGCCAGGTGGTAGGCGACCGAGGTTCCTATCACCCCGCCCCCGCATATGACCACCCTTGCTTGGTCTGGCAAACCGACGGACGACTCTGCAGATGTAGAGGCTTGTCTAACACGCCCGTCATGATTCCAGGCAGATGAAACTCCTGTTCGTGTGAAGAGAAACCTATGTTTATGTTCTTGTCTAAGTGAAAGTGAACCGCTTTTTAATTTTTGACAAGTTTTCTTCACGTTCCCCGATCCCAGCCGAATTTTTGAGCGTAGCGGCAACATTGCCGGTTAGTTTATGACCAACCTCTCCCTGATACGTTACCCAGGCACCTGGGCAAAGATCGTGCGATAAGGACCTTGTTATGCCATGCCAGGGTGACGATTGAATGTTTACAAATTACATTCGAGGTTGAATCTGCTCAGTGGGTCATTGAGTAGGCCGTTCTGCTTGTGAACCACTATGACCTCTGAAACACTCACCAGATGGAGACTAGATAAAAGACAAGACGCATTACGAAGTCACTTGATACGGCGAGGTGTCAGAAACGCAATATTTATTATTTTATAATAATTATTATTATTTCTTGTATTTGCGCATTCCATTGTCATACATTTCCATGCATTTAACAACACTTAAATGTAAACTTACTTTAGAAGTTATAAAACGTTAATAACATATAATTTGAAAAAGATGAGTTTTTATCTTAATTATAAAATTTAAAAAGGCAGTTTGTTCGACAGTTTGGGGCAAAGACGAAAAAGTTAAATTTGTCTCTTTTTCACAGTGGCTGAGTGTAAAATTGTTATAAAATATAGATTCTAGGTGTCCATGTGCATGTAGTTCAAACTGATATTAATAAGATCATTAGGAAGCCTAATTCCTGTACTTTTTAAAAGGCGTTAAAAACAGCTACTACACATGGCTTTAAATTTAATTATTTCCCGGAATGGTAGACAATTATGAATGTACTAGTAGATGTCGGTCTCTTGTGACTTGATTAATATGTTCTGGGCTCTATTTTTCCTCAACAGTTGAAAAACGTTATTTCAAGTATTTTATAGAATTTGTGAATATCGCACAGTGTTGAAATGGTTAAACAATTGTTTATAAATCTCCATGAGATTGAATAGCACGGTACATCAATTAATGAGCATAAGCAGACCATCATCGGCGTTTTCGAAATATCTCCGGTAGTGCAACTGTACAAAGATCAAAATTTAAAGGGCGGTTATTCGACTTCTTCAAATACTAGTAGGCGAGATATGCGCTATATTGTTACTATTAATTTTGATTAATCAAAAAGTAATTTAGCAACTGCTGCCAGCAACTTGATTTAAATCAGGGTCTAATCAAACAGCTAGGTCATTTAATGTACCTTAAGTTTCAAGGCACTGTTAAGCTAGATTGCTCACTATAGGCCTATATATACCTTTTCATGTGTTGGCTTTATTACAGTGTATTGCTGATGTGGGTTATAGCCTAAATAGGCCTATATATAAAATCAAGCTGGCAATACCGAAATCTAGAACCTAGGGTAATTTAATGTGACATCTCACTGAAACTGACAGCCTATCTGTTTGGAAAAAGTGATTACTGCCATGGACTTAATTGCAATCAGCCCACTCATGTGATTGAAACTGACAGCCGGACTTGGGGTTTTCGTTTCTAACACGAGGTGAAATATGATCTACTACAACTTTTGATGAAGACTAGCCTCGGCTTCGATGCTGCATCTGTTGCGCGCTGGGAACTTCAACCAATCCGATTGTGACTTTCACAACGTGTAGCGCTGGATCCCCTAATTTGCATAACGCGTTGTATTTATACAAAACGCTCCCTTCCTGCAGTATTCAACGTTCATATTGCACGCTAGAATACAAGTACCATGCCTCCCAAAGTGAGCTCCAAGGGCGCCAAGAAAGCCGGTAAGGCTAAGGCAGCACGTAGTGGTGACAAGAAGAGAAGGAGGAAGAGAAAGGAAAGCTACAGCATCTACATCTACAAGGTGATGAAACAGGTGCACCCTGACACCGGTATCTCCAGCAAAGCCATGAGCATCATGAACAGCTTTGTCAATGACATCTTTGAACGTATTGCCGGTGAAGCTTCCCGCCTTGCCCACTACAACAAGCGCTCCACCATCACCAGCCGAGAGGTCCAGACTGCTGTCCGTCTCTTGCTGCCTGGTGAGCTTGCCAAGCACGCTGTCAGTGAGGGCACAAAGGCCGTCACCAAGTACACCAGCTCTAAGTAAATCGACGAATCACTGATTTACACAAACGGTCCTTTTCAGGACCAACCATATATTTCCAGAAAAGCTATGCCAAATGTTTGCAATCTGATCATATAATTAAGAATCTCAAGTTTTGAATGGGTTTGCTGTATATATAATTACCACGGCATGAATTAATAAACTGACCTGCAGACAATGTCTACCTAACTGTTAGTTGGTAATGAATGAGTCAATACATAATAAAACCACGTACGGTTAACCGTTATGCCATATAGACGAAAACATCTCAAAGAGGTGTAGTGAGAGTAAAAGAATGGCACCGAATTTCTATCATGCCAAATGTATTCTACATAGCGATAAACCAGCAGAAAATTTCACATATCAGGGCAGGTGTTAACTTTTCACATATTCCATCTCCTTTCATGAATTTCATCTTTCCCCAGTCAAAAGGGCACAGAAAATATATGTACTTGTCAAGTCACAAAATTTCTTGGCCTACACACACGTATTTGACCGTCCCTCAAAATACATCCATTTTGTCCAACACTGGCACATCAAACTCAAAGTTTTTTTTTTTTTTGTTTTTCCCAATTCACACCTTAAAATTGATGAACCCCATCAAACAAAAGTACCTGTGTGAATATAACATTTTAATATGTCACGATGACTATGCCAATTTAAATCAATCCTAATAATTTTTCCTCTGCCAAGAAGGTTGTTTCCACCGTCTTTGTTTGTTTGTCCGTCTGTGTGTCATCAACATAACTCAAAAAGTTATATGGATGAATTTCGATGGAAGTTTCAGGAGAGGTCAGAAGTGGGCCAAGGAACAGGTGATTAGTTTTTGGCGGTGATCCAGATCAATAATGAATCAATAAACAATAATCAAAAAACTAATTAAATCATTATAGAATGAAAAGTTTGGGGTGAAACGGCATTGGGTGGAGACTGCTGCCTTGGCGGAGGTCTGCGCTCTCGGAGTGCTTTTCTAGTCTTGGATATTTTTTAACAGTTCAAAATAAATTTCACAATAGTTGTCAGGATTGATATGATTTTTTTTCAATCAACAGCTAATATTGAGATAGAAGTTCTCATGATAGACATCGAAATATTGGAGGTAAAACCTATTTCCATATAAGCTGTTGAATGAAGAAAAAAAATCACATCATTATTTTACCTTAACACAGCTGATGAAATTCTTCTCCGAGTTGGCAGGATTGTATTTTATCTGCCTTGAGGGAAAAATGTTGCACTTTTAAGGGCTGGGGGATATTTTCAAATCGTTTTCAGTGGCTGATGTTTTATGACACCGCATCATCCAATGATGAGGCAAAAGCCACTTCAGAAGGACCCTAGCTGTTGGGGTGAGGGGATACGCTTGTCTTAATTGCAGTTCAAGTTCAAAAATGGACATGGTTTAGATTATTTTTCGCCTTTACTTCATTCCTAGTTTTTGATATTAATATAATATTAAATTTATTGTATATGTATATATATTAGAATAAAAGCGGTGTGATAAAAACATAATGGTTTAGCTTTTCTTGATTATGGAGGTGGTCCTGAAAAGGACCGTTTTAATGATGTAAAATTAGAATTAGGCACGCTCTCCGCGAATACGGCGAGCCAGCTGGATGTCCTTGGGCATGATGGTCACACGCTTGGCGTGGATAGCGCACAGGTTGGTGTCCTCGAAAAGACCAACCAAGTAAGCTTCGCTAGCTTCCTGCAGGGCCATGACAGCAGAGCTCTGGAATCTCAGGTCAGTTTTGAAGTCCTGGGCGATTTCACGGACCAGACGCTGGAAGGGGAGCTTGCGGATCAGAAGCTCAGTGCTCTTCTGGTAACGACGGATTTCACGGAGAGCTACAGTACCGGGCCTGTAACGGTGAGGTTTCTTCACACCACCGGTGGCGGGGGCGCTCTTACGAGCGGCCTTGGTGGCCAGCTGCTTCCTTGGGGCCTTGCCACCAGTAGATTTACGTGCGGTTTGCTTGGTACGAGCCATTGTTGAGAGATCAGTCGTTCGGAGGTCGAATAACTAGAATGAATTTTCGCTAACATGCTACCGAGATTTGTAGTAAGGCGGTCTATTTGGTGATTGGGTGACCCAAATTTCTGTCCTATTTTACGAACATCTGATTGGATATATTTTTCCAAAGAAATGGCGCTTCAGACAGGTGCGCTGAAAATGTGCAGCTTTGAATCCGAGGCAGAGGGCACATATTGGTTATATCTCGGTGTGTATTATCAATTTGTTAATTATTGAAAGTAAAAAATAAGCAAAACTTCTCCCCTATGAATCATACATGAATTTTCCCTTAAAATCTGCGTTAAGGAAGAAAATATCAATGTGTTCTCATATTTAAATGAAGGGTTTATGCTGAGATGATGAGCATTTTGCTGAATCAAATAATCTCTAAGCAGTGGATCCTTGCCACCTGAGGGAAGTGCGTATACTCTGTGTGGAGAGTTCCTCGATCATTTTGGCCAATCAAGTTGAGATCTGGTGCTTGAGGTCGTTGGCGTCGGAGAGTAGGGTATATAAACGCCTAAAATTGAATTTTTTATATCATACGACTACTGTCTGATTTAGCAAGCATGTCTGGACGTGGCAAAGGAGGTAAAGGATTGGGAAAAGGAGGCGCCAAGCGTCACCGCAAAGTTTTGCGTGACAACATCCAGGGTATCACCAAGCCAGCCATCCGTCGTTTGGCTCGCCGTGGTGGTGTCAAGCGTATTTCTGGACTCATCTATGAGGAGACCCGTGGTGTCCTGAAGGTTTTCCTTGAGAATGTCATCCGTGATGCTGTCACCTACACCGAGCACGCCAAGAGGAAGACCGTCACCGCCATGGATGTCGTCTATGCTTTGAAACGTCAAGGCCGTACTCTGTACGGATTCGGCGGTTAGACGTATTGATTATTTTGTACAAAACGGTCCTTTTCAGGACCACCAAATATTCAAGAAAAGCTATACTAATATATTGTTCTCAGCTTTTGATCAATCGCACCCTACTCTTGCTTTCAAAAAGTTTATTACCGAATATTTTATTATCCAACAGTTATTCACCGTAGTAGTTGATACTTGATTAACTGAACTGTTGTTACTGTGTAAAACTTCCAACACTTTCTGTATGGCCGTCGTAAGACAAAACTCACCGCAAACCTTAAGATACCCCAACATTTTATGTAGCACCACGAACCATACCTTGTACAATAAAATTTTACCAAATCCAGCTTATTTTAGAAAGGGATCTACATTCAAACGTTCAGCAAACTCGACATCTGAATCTGAATCTACGTCTAGTTGGTGTTTTATGCTGTTAAATATTCCTCAATATTGATAGCAATATATTGTCTGTAATGAAAGAAGTACTGAGTGCTTTTTAACATTCCATTAGTCATATGTGATATCTACTTACTATGTTAACTATACAAACAAAAGTAACTGGTCAGTCATTTTGCTACTAAAGTATTGAATAAAGAATGAAATTTAACATTAGAGTTACTTGTAGAAGATTGCTTTTCACCCAAGGAAAATTTGTACGGCAGGTAAATCGCCATCATTGATACCCTTTAAACAGTGCATCATGATGGGAGTGAAATTGTTCAATTTATGAGCTATTACCAAGTATGAGGCAAACATTGCTAAAAACACATGCAAATGAAAAAAGAAATTAAATAAATAAAAAAATAAACGAATAATAATAATGTCAAATAAGTAAACATTTTTTTCCACAACTTTTGAAAATTATTTGACCATGCTGATATTCCATGGGCACCTGTGTTTTTACCAAACATACTGCCACTCAGATGATTATTATTATTATTATTATTATTATTATTATTATTATTATTTAATTGATGGTGATAAGGTGAACAACAGATTTGATTGATGAAATAGACGGGCACATTATTCAGAATTCAGCATCTGTAAAAATAACATGGCTATTTCTCTTTTTATATATGGAAATTTTAAGTCGTCAAAAACATAACCTTTTTTCCCATTATTACACCATTAGGTATTCTATTATATTCAGTGTTTTATGTATTTTAGGGGGTGAACAGTGTCATTTGGTACTGTTTAGAACTATAGTTCAGCTAGTCAAAATTCTAATTTCAAGAAGGGACCATTTGTGTGATTTTTTTTCAGAAATCAAAAGGGGGGAGGGGGGAGGTCCCCCCCCCTCCTAAATCAGCCACTGAATTGCTATGGTAAAGCTAGCTTTGTGCGATTCTTTGAAACATAAACCTATCACAGTGACTGACAATGGTGGTGATATTTTTTTTTTTTATATGAGACTCTCCTTTGATAGTTCTCTGAGTGGCAATTTTGTTCAACTGACACCAAATGCAAAGGTAGGTCCACCACTATAAGGTGTCTCGATTCTCATAAAATCCCTTTCAGTGGTAATAACTAGATAAATAAAAGTAAGGTGAATGACACATATATTTGATGTCACGTACACAGACAGTATCTAAAATGCACTGTCTGTAAACATGTCTGTGCATGGTAATTTTAAGCTATTTTTCCATTATTTCTCCATTAGTTAAATTTTCTTTACCAGTTAACTCAATTGCTATGGTAAAGTTTATTTTAAGATACTTCGATATAATAACCTATACAAGTGACAGACAGCATACTGAAATTTGTTCTACTTATAACTTTCAGTATTATAGTGACCATAGCAGCTAAATATAAATACTTTCATAAGAGGAAACAGCATTGACAGTGGATTTATCAATCGTCCAATTCTTTGACTGTGTTAAATGTTCAGTATTTTATTTATATTAAAAGTACACAGACACAAAAAATAATTAATAAAATTTTAAAATATTTAACAAACAGAATTTTAGCATGACAAGTGTTTTCATATTTATTTACTTACCACCTCAGAAAATAAGTGCATACATACACTATATTCAATCTAAAACATATGTATTGAAAAGTGACAAGATAATCAAAAACTGAGCAAGACTGACACTAAAATGCTTTCAATAAAAAATCTAACAAGACCATGTGCATTTAAGCCATGGTAAGGATTAGATTAAAATCTTTATAAAATCTACCAGGCCAGACCAGGGTTTGGGAATGTATNCAATATTTGTACGCTAGAATACAAGTATCATGCCTCCCAAAGTGAGCTCCAAGGGCGCCAAGAAAGCCGGTAAGGCTAAGGCAGCACGTAGTGGTGACAAGAAGAGAAGGAGGAAGAGAAAGGAAAGCTACAGCATCTACATCTACAAAGTGATGAAACAGGTGCACCCTGACACCGGTATTTCCAGCAAAGCCATGAGCATCATGAACAGCTTTGTCAATGACATCTTTGAACGTATTGCCGGTGAAGCTTCCCGCCTTGCCCACTACAACAAGCGCTCCACCATCACCAGCCGAGAGGTCCAGACTGCTGTCCGTCTCTTGCTGCCTGGTGAGCTTGCCAAGCACGCTGTCAGTGAGGGCACAAAGGCCGTCACCAAGTACACCAGCTCTAAGTAAATCAACGAATCACTGATTTACACAAACGGTCCTTTTCAGGACCAACCATATCTTTCCAGAAAAGCTATGCCAATTGTTACTCAGTAGCCCACATATAAAAATTTATCACACATATATGATACACTATCCTTTGACATGACTGGTTACTTGACTCTTGAAATTGTAAATTGTCTTCAGTGTATCCGATGATTTCATAGTAATGATTAATTTAAGTTGACTATTTTCTTGGTTTAAATTGTAGGTATACATAATTGTTTCAATGTCAACAGTATGGCAAATTAGGGCACATTCCCATAGAATTTAGGTCGATCTATCCCAGTAGGGAGTCTCACTAGATTACTGTCAGATAATAGGCTTAAATGTCCGTCCCGCCTACTACAAGCTGTAAGGGGGTAATTAACTTTCGTGTCCGTGCGGCTGACAGCTATTTAGCGTGAACCCCCAGGGAGTTAGGTCGATCTAGTTGGATCGATCTTATCTCTGGGAATGGGAGCTTAGTGTCACAGAGGGCTTTTTAAATATATTACCTATGCAGGATTAAGGGGTTGTATCCTCCTTTAAGAAGCATTTATGATTTTTTGTTTAGGGTTACTTCCAAAACCCAAAATATGAATAATACTACCCCACCTCCATTTCTTTAAAAGGAGGCACACAGTTTTTAAAAAGCTTGTATCCAGCTGCCATTTCTCTTACTTGCTGAACAGTTTGCTGGGCATTTCATTTTATTTTTAACCCTAAAATTGTAAAAATCGATTTTGGATTTATGTGTCTTCTATACTATACACATATGGTGGTTGGATGAAAATTATCTGTGAATGTATAGTTCTTATTCTTTTTTACTACACTATAGCATAAATTGACCATGATCGAATTTTAGTAAGTTGTCAGGAGACCTCTTAATTGTAGTCTGAGTAGAAAAATAACTGACATTTGTATCTAGTCTGAGTAGAAAAATAACTGACATCTTGAATTTGAGGAAATAGAGGTAACTAAAATAAATTTGATCATCCATGCACATAAACTAGCACATCTGAAACCAACAAGCAATGCAAGTGCATACAAACAAGTGATGCAGTGGGTTTTACTGTGCATTGTAAAGCTTGGTGCACAAATGAGTTCAGCACCTGTGTTGGATTTCACCGGCACATTTGGAAAGAAGATAGCCAAGATATGTAGTTACTCAGTTCTCAGTTCAAATACCAGAATTATCAACAAACTGTAAAATAACAAGGAATAACCAACCACTCAGCCTACTGAGCTGTCTAGGCAAACTAATCACCACTAGATTAAAAGAAAAGCTAGAAACTTCAATAAATAGCAAATTGTGTCAACAATTAAAGACCAATCAACCCTGTGGATGGCTACGGCAAGCTCTTCTTAAAAATTACTGCCAACAGATTAGTAGACTAACTTTGAATACATATTCTTTACAGGTCAACATAGTTGACCTGAAAAGGCACGGCAAGAATACCCAAAACTGCTTTAGAAGCACTCAACAAAAATGGCTAAGCATCGGCCAACCAATACTCAAATTAAAAGAAAGCATACTTTAATAATTAAAATTCTACTCTTATCATACAGCATGAAGAATCATGCAAGATTGCGCATGTGCACTGGAAGCATCATATGTTGTATACTGTGGATTAACATGAATGATTACTGGATTAATTTAGTCAAAAGAAGACAAACCCAAGTCAAAGATGACAACTCAATTTTAATACAGGAATGCTGCAGAGTCCACCACCAGCTTTTTCCATATATAATTATAGCTTGCTTATTTACCGAAATACCAATCTTGGAACATAACATTACCATGGCTGGTTTAGACTTCTGGGAGAAATGAGAAGAATGTGGAAAATAAATATATTGCATTTTCAGTGACCTCTGTGTCTGTTTAGATGTGGTAAAGAGGCAAGGAGTTAGTGACAAATGTGATAGACAAAATGGTGGAAAATAATTTATTACTTAAAAGGGAGAGAACAAGAATTCTGTAAAAATTTTGAAAGTTCTTTGTATCTTTGTTAAAAACAAGTCCATGCAAAAAATGTAATGCTAATTCACAGGGTAAAACTAGTTTTAAATGAGTCCGAAGGTTTTCCTCTAGGAGTTCAAGTAAACATTCAAGTATGTTCTTTGATTATGGATAAATGCAATAATCAAATATAAAATCTCAAGTTGGACCAATTTTGAATAAGGCACCAAATTTAAAAGCACGACCAAACATGAAACAAAAATTGAACTGTTCTTACATCACAGTTGAAGCTTATTTAACCTTTGACAATACTAGGCATCATAAGTTTTAATACTTAAACTATCAACTACATTTTTTTAAATTTTATAACATAACTAAAATCATCACTATTATTATGTTTTTCACATTAGTCAAATATCTGCAAGTGCATGCAAACTAGTCTAATCTCTATTTTCCCTCTAAATATTTAGTATATTTATCAACAGGCTTAAACCGTCCTGCATGCACATCTGCCTTTTAAAAACAATCTGTAAATCACAAACTAAGTGACAGCTACATGGAACCAAACAAAAACTTCACTAATCAGATCAAAGGAATTTGAAATCAAGTTATCCTCCATATCAATTTCTTACTTCTTCAACTTATATGTCTCAGTTTAGTGTTCTCCTGAAGAATTTCTCCTCTTTTCTCCTGTTGCAGTTCATTCCACTTTGAGGCAAAAGTTGCATAGCTCTGTATTTTCAGAAAATTTCATCCATGAAGGTATGCTATGGTCATTTCTTTCTACTGAAGCTTCATTTTCAGCTCTTTTCCTTAATAATGTTCTGTAGTTTGTCTACAAGGGAGTTGACATCCTGGTTTTTGTCTATCTTGATAAACTTCCCCTTCTTCACAGTGATCACAGTCAACCAGCCGGGCAGTACCTCTGTCAGCAACTTTAGGTGGGTTTCCACATCAGCTAAAATGGAGTCAAAAGTAACTTGTGGATTATAAATCACAACAGCAATGATGGAAAGGAATGCGCAGACTGAGAGAGGAGAATAATTGTTCTCCTTAAAATAAATGTTCACCACTTCATATAAACACACCATTTTAAAAATTCATATTAGGTATAATTGAATGGCTAATGACACCAAATGCTGCAGTCCACACCAACTGCAATGTCAAAGTCTAAAAGGTAACAGATATACTCCAAGCAAAGTAACATGCCTGATTATCAATAGACTGGTTATGAGTAGAGCCTATCACATTTTAGTCCAAAAAAATTTGTTACAAATCTGTGAACCATTAGAAATGTAAACTGCATGGAATAATGATGCTTGGCTAATAACAATAAATCTCAAGCCCACCTGCTCCAATACCAGATCTGTAACTATCTATGAGTTTCTGAGTGGCAGCCTCCATGGACAAAGCTGGCTTCTTCTCTGTCACATAATACGACCGGAGTATACGGACTATCTCAGGGAGACGCTCCAGCATTTTCAGTCGTTGTTCCTGCTCTGGTTTTCGAGTTAAAACTGCTTCCAGTTTAGCTGCCTCCTTGGCTCTGATCTTTAAACATATAAAATGAAATCNATTTCCAGCAAAGCCATGAGCATCATGAACAGCTTTGTCAATGACATCTTTGAACGTATTGCCGGTGAAGCTTCCCGCCTTGCCCACTACAACAAGCGTTCCACCATCACCAGCCGAGAGGTCCAGACTGCTGTCCGTCTCTTGCTGCCTGGTGAGCTTGCCAAGCACGCTGTCAGTGAGGGCACAAAGGCCGTCACCAAGTACACCAGCTCTAAGTAAATCAACGAATCACTGATTTACACAAACGGTCCTTTTCAGGACCAACCATATCTTTCCAGAAAAGCTATGCCAATTGTTACTCAAAATGTAGCCCACATATAAAAATTTATCACACATATGATACACTTTGACATGACTGGGTTACTTGACTCTTGAATTTGTAAATTGTCTTCAGTGTATTTGATGATTTCATAGTAATGATTAATTTAGATGACTTTTTTCTTGGTTTAAATTATAGGTATACATAATTGTTTCAATGTCAACAGTATGGCAAATTAGGGCACATTCCCATAGATTTTAGGTCGATCTATCCCAGTAGGGAGTCTCACTAGAGTACTGTCAGATATTAGGCTTAAATGTCCGTCCCGCCTACTACAAGCTGTAAGGGGGTAATTAACTTTCGTGTTCGCTCGGCTGACAGCTATTTAGCGTGAACCCCCAGGGAGTTGGGTCGATCTAGTTGGATCAATCTAATCTCTGGGAATGGGAGCTTAGTGTCACAGAGGGCTTTTTAAAAGCATTTTAGAAGCATTTATGATTTTTTGTTTAGGGTTACTTCCAAAACCCAAAATATGAATAATACTACCCCGCCTCCATTTCTTTAAAAGGAGGCACACAGTTTTTAAAAAGCTTGTATCCAGCTGCCATTTCTCTTACTTGTTGAACAGTTTGCTGGGCATTTCATTTTATTTTATTTTTAACCCTAAAATGGTAAAAATCGATTTTGGATTTATGTGTCTTCTATACTATACACATATGGTGGTTGGATGAAAATTATCTGTGTATGTATAGTTCTTATTCTTTTTTACTACACTATTGCATAAATTGACCATGCTCCAATTTTAAGTAAGTTGACAGGAGACCTCTTGTATCTAGTCTGGGTAGAAAAATTACTGACATCTTGAATTTGAGGAAATAGAGGTAACTAAAAAAAATTGATCATCCATGCACATAAACTAGCACATCTGAAACCAACAAGCAATGCAAGTGCATACAAACTAGTGATGCAGTGGGTTTTACCGTGCATTGTAAAGCTTGGTGCACAAATGAGTTCAGCACCTGTGTTGGATTTCACCGGCACATTTGGAAAGAAGATAGCCAAGATATGTAGTTACTCAGTTCTCAGTTCAAACACTAGAATTCATCAACGTACTGTAAAATAACAAGGAATAACCAACCACTCAGCCTGCTGAGCTGTCTAGGCAAACTAATCACCACTAGATTAAAAGAAAAGCTAGAAACTTCAATAAATAGCAAATTGTGTCAACAATTAAAGACCAATCAACCCTGTAGATGGCTACGGCAAGCTCTTCTTAAAAATTACTGCCAACAGATTAGTAGACTAACTTTAAATACATATTCTTTACAGGTCAACATAGTTGACCTGAAAAGGCACGGCAAGAATACCCAAAACTGCTTTAGAAGCACTCAACAAAAATGGCTAAGCATCAGCCAACCAATACTCAAATTAAAAGAAAGCATACTTTAATAATTAAAATTCTACTCTTATCATACAGCATGAAGAATCATGCAAGATTGCGCATGTGCACTGGAAGCATCATATGTTGTATACTGTGGATTAACATGAATGATTACTGGATTAGTCAAAAGAAGACAAACCCCAAGTCAAAGATGACAACTCAATTTTAATACAGGAATGCTGCAGAATCCACCACCAGCTTTTTCCATATATAATTATAGCTTGACTGTTGACCAAAATACTAATCTTGGAACATAACATTGCTATGGCTGGTAGAGACTTCCGGGAGAAATGAGAAGAATGTGGAAAATAAATATATTGCATTTTCAGTGACCTCGGTGTCAGTTTTGTTGTGGTAAAGAGGTAATGATATAGTGACAAATGTGATAGACAAAATGGTGGAAAATAATTTATTATTTAAAAGAAAGAGAACAAGATTTCTGTAAAAATTTTGAAAGTTCTTTGTATCTTTGTTAAAAACAAGTCCATGCAAAAAATGTAATGCTAATTCACAGGGTAAAACAAGTTTTAAATGAGTCTGAAGGTTTTCCTCTAGGAGTTCAAGTAAACATTCAAGTATGTTCTTTGATTATGGATAAATGCAATAATCAAATATAAAATCTCAAGTTGGACCAATTTTGAATGAAGCACCAAATTTAAAAGCACAACCAAACATGAAACAAAAATTGAATTGTTCTTACATCACAGTTGAAGCTTATTTGACCTTTGACAATACTAGGCATCATAAGTTTAAATACTTAAACTACATTTTTTAAATTTTATAACATAACTAAAATCATCACTATTATTATGTTTTTCATTATAAGTCAAATATCTGCAAGTGCATGCAAACTAGTCTAGTCTCTATTTTTCCTCTAAATATTTAGTATATTTATCAACAGGCTTAAACCGTCCTGCATGCACATCTGCCTTTTAAAAAACAATCTGTAAATCACAAACTAAGTGACAACTACATGGAACCAAACAAAAACTTCACTAATCAGATCAAGGGCATTTGAAATCAAGTTATCTTCCATATCAATTTCTTTCTTCTTCAACTTATATGTCTCAGTTTAGTGTTCTCCTGAAGAATTTCTCCTGTTTTCTCCTGTTGCAGTTCATTCCACTTTGAGGCAAAAGTTGCATAGCTCTGTATTTTCAGAAAATTTCATCCATGAAGGTATGCTATGGTCATTTCTTTCTACTGAAGATTCATTTTCAGCTCTTTTCCTTAATAATGTTCTGCAGTTTGTCTACCAGGGAGTTGACATCCTGGTTTTTGTCTATCTTGATAAACTTCCCCTTCTTCACAGTGATCACAGTCAACCAGCCGGGCAGTACCTCTGTCAGCAACTTCAGGTGGGTTTCCACATCAGCTGCAATGGAGTCAAATGCAACTTATGGATTATAAATCACAACAGCAATGACGGAAAGGAATGTGCAGACTGAGAGAGGAGAATAATTGTTCTCCTTAAAATAAATGTTCACTAGTTCATATAAAAAACAGCATTTTAAAATTTCACATTAGGTGCAGTTCAATGGCTAACGATGCCAAACGCTGCAGTCCACACCAACTGCAATATCAAAGACTGAAAGGTAACAATTATACTCCAAGCAAAGGAACATGCCTGATTATCAATAGACTGGTTATGAGTAGAGCCTATCAAATTTCAGTCCAAAAAATATGTTACAAATCTGTGAACCATTAGAAATGTAAACTGCATGGAATAATGATTCTTGGCTAATAACAATAAATCTCAAGCCCACCTGCTCCAATTCCAGATCTGTAACTATCCATAAGTTTCTGAGTGGCAGCCTCCATGGACAAAGCTGGCTTCTTCTCTGTCACATAATACGACCGCAGTATACGGACTATCTCAGGGAGACGTTCCAGCATTTTCAATCGCTGTTCCTGCTCTGGTTTTCGAGTTAAAACTGCTTCCAGTTTAGCTGCCTCCTTGGCTCTGATCTTTAAACATATAAAATGAAATCATGTTACTTAAAAAACTTTATGTACTTCCTTTAAAATAGAGGGCACTTATGTAAAAGTTTTTCGCACAGACTGAGCTACACTGTGTCTCTTCACATAATTTACATTAAAATTATCTTTCACATATGTACAGTTTAATGAAGAAAGAAAGTCCTCACCCTTTCCAAGAGAGATGATGGAACACCCTTCAGTGTAGTGGTAGGCGAGTTGTTCTCTGCAGACACTGTTTTATCCTTTTTGGGTGTTGTGGCATCTTCTGGTTTTATTAATTTCAACTTGGCCACAGACTCAAGTGCTCTTTCCACCTGACATTTCAAAGGAAATAACAATAAAAAAACTTCAATAATAGAGCCAAATGTAAACATCTCACATGTTGAAGTACTGAATTTTCTGGGTCTGATTTTTTATTTGTACCTATGCCACAAATCCTACATATATTTAGAATTCGAGTTAACTGCTTGTTTGACTTTACCATCGTATATACTCAAAGCTAACCAGCAAGAAAAAAGAATCAGGTCAGAAATATTTGAAAAGAATATACCACATACTTTAGCTGGTACTTTTCCCCTTGCTTGTGAGAGCACATCGGTGGCAGTGGAGTATTTCCGGACCACTGGTGCCTCTGGTAGTGGTGCTGGAACCACATCGGGTACCTGGTCAAGTTTAAACTTCGGGTGCCATCTCCGCAAGTCGTCATCTTTCACATTCAAGGGACTCTTCAAGTTGGAGAGGAATTCCTACAAAAGAAATTTCAGGTCAGAAATTGACATCTCTCTCACAAACTTTCAATCAATTTGCCTGAATAAAATTGGACTTATATGTAATAGAGGAATTTTTAATATATGGCAAACATGCACAGGTGATTAGGGGAAAGTCCCTGGAGCCAATATTCCTTAATTTTTACTGGAAATTATATTATGTTCAAGTGTACAACAAAAAAGTAACAAAGCAATGTGAGAAAAGATATAAACAATGAAATGAATAAAAGGTATAATCTATTATACATGGGCCTTTTCACATGTAACAACATCTAACTCATCAAGTCGGGAATGATTTACCATAAGATTTACATGTCTGGCTATTTCCTTAGAGGGCCACTGAGAAGGAAACTTCCCACCTAAGCTGATCAATTAACCTAAATAAACAGCAGGAAGAGAGCTGGTAGAAATTTTGTAAAAGAATGTGAAGCGCCCTGAAGTGCAATCACATCCAAGACTTTTAAAACGAACCGGTTTAGACTAAGTATACGACACATTGCCCTACCCTGTGATGGCGCTTCACAATAGACACCAGGTTGTGATGGAAGACGTTCCTTCTCTCCAGCAGAGTGGTGGCAGTGAACGGCGTGTGGTTGAATGTCGACCCATTTTGAAGATTCTTCAATTGATCTGTGAGGTAATCAATAATAATTTAAGAACAATAGCGATAGTTTGTAGGTGTTCATTTTTCTGAATTCTGTGCTGATATATATATATATATATATATATATATATATATATATATATATATATATATATATGCAAGGGCTGTTCAATTCTCCTCACAGTGGTTAGGATTTCATATGGCAAAAAATAGTTAACTGTTGTAGTGCAGGAAAACGTTTCTTTTTAATATAATAATAATAATAATTTACTGAAATCTAAATGATACATCTGTAGGGTCCTATGCTGCAGTTAATAGTATACAAAATAACAATAAAGCATATTCCATATCATATATCATGTTGCAAACTACCATCACATGTAAAAGTGAAAAATGACAACCGAGATCCCTCAAAAAATGTTTTTTTCAAATAAAAAAGTAACTTTTAGTTGGGCAAATTCTGCCAGTAGGTCTGTCCAGCACTGTTATTATTATTATTATTATTATTATTATTATTATAACTGCAGTACCTTTGTTGTATTGTGTTCCTTTTCTTGTGTCAAAGAAAAAAGCTTACCTGGTGAGATGTCTGTATCAAAGTTGGGTTGTACAGTTAGCTGGTAGTCAGTAGACTTTCCCCCAAACTCAGGTAGGCCTTTTTCTTGTTTAAAGATATATGCCAAAGGATTAACTGTCTTGATCTGTCCCACGTGTTTCACTTCAAAGTTCCTAGAAACAATCATCTTAATATCTAAGACCCCCTTACCACAGATTTTAGATCAATCTATCCCCATGGGGAGTATCACTAGATTACTGTCAGCTTAGCGGGCTTAAATGTCTGTCCCACCTACTAAAAGCTGTAAGGCCAAGGGGAATTAACTTCCGTGCGCGGTCGGCTGACAGCAATTTAGCTTGAACCCCCAGGGAGTTAGGTCGATCTAGTTGGATCGATCTTAATCTCTGGGAATGCGCTCTAACTCCATATCTATTGGTAATTTTGTCAATTTCTACCTTCCTTAAATTATTTTGGTGCCTACTTTTTAACACTAAAGATAAATACTCATTACACCTCTCACTGTTATCAATAACCATCAAGCCATATGAAATTGACATTCTTCACCCATCATAAGAGTTCCCTTGTTATTATTCACATCCCACATATATTCTCTTATTCCCATCACCTTCCTAGCAACTATACACAAGCTTTATAAATTTTTATGGATATTGTCAGACATCTGGAAAACTTTGGGGAAAATGAGGGTCAGGAGGACCTCTGCTACATTAAATCTGCAGGTCCTTCCAATTCTGTGCAGGTTTTTAAGTATTTACATCTGTTATTCTATGTTTACATGTGATCTATCATTATGCATTGTATTTTCACATACAGCTTGGCAGTCAAGAGAACCTGTGATTTTAAACATCTTGCAGACTTCTGGCATTTCAGTTTGTCATGAACAGGTAGTTTTCCCATGTTTGTATCGTTGGTAAAAACATGTTTTGTTTGAACTTACTTTCTCAACATCTCCTGTACAGCATTCTTCAGTTTGGAGAATGTGATGATTTCTGTCCTGTTGTGCAGCATGCTGACGACTGTGTCCATGCTTCGGAACATCTCCAGGAGCACCTTGTATTTGTAGGGCAGGCTGAGAGATGGCGCCACTGGCTGGGCCAGGCTGTGGAATCTCTCATAGGCTGCAGGTGCTGTCTTTTTACTGAAAGATGAAAAAGATAATTACGTTTGGACTAGGCAGGATGAAATTGAGAATTACATATAGTATTATATTATAGAAAAGACATTATGTGATATATTTTTAACTTGATATGCACAATAATAAAGCATGCATGGACAAATCATTTCTTGCATTGTTTCTCAGAACTTTGGCTTTCAAGGAAATAACATTAGCTTTTGGTTCTAATCTCTAACAAGATCTACTTCATGTTCAGTACCTGAAAAATCAAAATTTAGTCAGGTAAGCAATAAAAATGGATTAATTCCATATGTTGAGAGTTGTAATAAAATATACATCTGTCAATTGAAGGTGATTCATAGATCTTAAGCAGTTTACCTCTCAGGCTCCTCTTCATTCTTATCCTTCTCAGCTTCCTTCACTGCATTCTTGGCCTTGGCTTCTCTCAGCTTGGCAGAACTTTTATCAAACTGTGCCAGCCTCTCCTGTAACTCGGCTAACTTGCCACACTTAGCTAGCTTCTGTCTCATCTCAGCTGGTGTCAACTTCTACAACAGAGATTAACTGGCTATAAATTCCACAGTTGTCTTTCATATATTGCTAAATATTTTTGTCCCTATTAAACCAGGTTTCAGTGTAAGAAGATAATTTTATTTCAAGTAACTAGTATAAATGATAAAACAGAGCTTTTCTTTACTTACAGACATTGAAGAACATAAAGTAACATATGTACATAGAATAAAATATCAGCAACATCAACAATTTAAATTTCAATGAAATAACAATCATGCACATCAAGCCAATGAAGTGCAACAATACCTGTATTTTTCCACTTCCACTGTCACCTTCAACTTTTTCCACTTTGCCTTTACTCTCCTGTGCCACAGGCGAAGACTTCAACACTGACTTAACTTTATCTCGGAGGGGGGTGGAGTTGGTGGTGGGGGTCTCCTGGCTGGGTTCTCTTGCCATAGTTGGGGTCCCTACTGATAGCGTCTCGTCCCTGGACAATTCTTCGGATTTTGACAGTGCCTTAGATTTTTGAAAGCTAGGTGTTGGGGTCGACGGAGGAGAGGGTTCCAATTTCACAACTGAAACTGTCTTCTCTTTAGTTTCTTTAGTTGAAGGACCCTGTGCCTGGAAGTGATAAAGAATGCAATTAAATTACTGAGTAACTAAGAAACCATACACTGAGCTTTTCTTTTGCAATATTTAGTATATCAATGATTGTTATTAAGGAAATTGTATTGCAACATTTTTTTTTCTTTTCTGGTCATATTAAACCAGTTTTATTGTAAAAAGGTTAACGCATGTCATCAAAAGCAGAAATTTAATAGGATAGCACCAACAGTAACTATTTCAATTAAATAATGGAGAGCATCAAGCCAATGGCATTTAACAATACCTTAGTTTTGTCACCTTCCACTTTCTCCACACTGACTTTACTCTTCTGAGCCGCTGAATCTACCTTCTCCATACTTTCTTTAGAAGATGGGGCTTGTACCTAGAAGTGATGTAAGACATACTTCATTCAATTGGAAAGTTGTCAGGTACTGATATTGTTAATGCATCAAAGTTGAGTTTATCTATTTCTGGTATTGTAGAAATTGTGAATTACTATCAATCTTTCAAACATTTGAAGATAGGTAATTTTCAATAAAACATTTGAAGATAGGTAATTTCCAAGAAATAAATGTTTTGAAGATAAACAGTACAAACAAAACGTGTGTATATATATATATAAAATTTTGATGATGAGCAAGTTTGTTTGGGACAAATCTGCAAATGTAAACATGGACAAATCAAGGAAGGCACTGAGTCAAGATGGTGTGTCATTGCAGCTAACATAGTAGTGTCCAGACTCTCAATTGCTTCGATTGTGCAAAATGAAAAATTGAAGAGGATCCAGAAGACTATAGATGAGTTCCCTACATGATTCAAATCCATCACTGATTTAAATAAAACCAAATTGAAACTCAGGGACTTTACTTCTTTAGTATTTTTAGAAACAGTTTCAACCTTTAAAACCAACTTCTTTCTTGCATTTGTGGTCAATTTCGGTTTCTCGGCAAATTCACTAAAATCAAATCCTCTTTCAGGGGTTTTTGCATTAAATTCCGATAAAAGATCCTTTTGCATAGCCTTGGCTGCTCGACTTCTCTTTCTTGCCACAGTTTCGGTGCTCTCGCCATCTGAAAAACGCTTGGTCGGAGTGCAAGGTGGACTTCCATTGTGGTCATCAGCAATGGCCGTGGTTTCTTCCACGGTCTCTGAAACAGTACACTCGCTACTCGCTTTCTCCGACTCAAGAGGCTGAACCGCCTTGCTTTTGACTCTTGTTTTGCTCTCGAAAGCTTCATCGATTTCACCTTTGGTAGCAGTTGCAGATTTTCCAGTTTTAATGCGACTGGACCGTCTGGTTGAAGTGACCTTCCCCTCTGTCTTGGTTTTTAATTTTTTGGAAACAATGGGGACATCTGTTACCGATTCAGAATTCTGCGTTCCTGTTGCATTCTGCTTTAAATTAGTCTCCCCAAACGTCACAGAACCCAAGTCAAACTGCTCTATTCTTTGAACTTTTCTTCTCTTGGACGGTTGCAGGTTTCCAGTTCGTTTTCTGTTAGAAAAGTAATCCGTGACTTTCCCCTGCGCCATTGCAGCTTTTTTCTTTCCCGCGAAAGAGGTCACGTGACGTAAACAATATATGAAATTAATCAATTAATCATGTTTGCACCTTTATATCGCAAAAAATAAATTTTAGTGAAATAAATACGGCTTTTTTCTTAACTCTACATGCAAAGACTATACTAGATTATGATCAATTACGAATGAAATGAAAGAAAATTGGGGGAATTCCAAAACGGGAATTTGCGAGATGTGGGCCAACCACATGATTTCTCAAAATGGCGGACAACCTGAATCCTTTTCTGGAAGATGAAGATTTTATTGATAATGAATTAGAAACCACGCTCCCACATAAGCAACCAAACAACGACGACGATTATATCACTCTCGATACGATTGCAGAAAAACTGTTGAAGGGTAATTTTATCTTGTCGGCGTTGGAGCTGCATACTGAACTCACTGAAAGTGGTCGGGAACTGGGAAGGCTTCGAGACTATTTCTCCAATCCTGGAAATTTTGAACGTGCAAAACTAGAGCCATCACCACCATCATTGCGTAAGAAACATTTAGAATTATTTTCCGCCATGAAATCTTTAGATTTCTCTTTGTTTGTTTTCGATAAGCCCTTTACTTGTGATCAATCCATCAAGGTGTTTATTTTCGATTAATTAAAGAGCTTTGGCAGGTGGGCGTGACGTAGAGAAAGAAACGCTTGACCAGCTTTTTTGTGTACTCACCGGGCCACGATCGAATCAAGCTTACAGGGAGTGACGTGGAAGAGTAATTTGATTTTTGATATCATTTTCAATTTTTTTTATAGTGTTGCAGAAAAAGTGCAGTTAAAAAAAACGCTGAATCTTGACAGTTGCTAGAAATAATAATAATTATTATTATAATAAAGCAATTTTGCATGTGCATGTAGGATTTTTTTTTTTTTTTTTTTTTTTTTTGTGCCTCCAAGTATGTTTACGTGTGGTATTATTTATATATTGGCACAAAATAACACACACTATTTTTTAGTTATCAATTTACACAATTCATTTAAAACTTTTGGCAAAGTTGGTTAAATAATTTCATCAGTTCTAAAATTGATAAAAGAAAAAATTGTAAAGCATGAAACTCAAGTCTCTTGCATTTATGGAGTGGCATACTTTCAAGAAAAAAGATGATAAAGACCCTTTAATCTCAAATTGTAAATAAAGTTATTTTGCCAATTTATCTTTTATAATGTTTGGGGTAAGCCATGCATTTTGTTTATGTATTAATTTTGATCAAGTGATAGATATGAAAATTAAGAAGTGGCGTGGTCTCTGTGCAGATTTAATATGGCTCATACCTGTATGCAAAACTTTGCTTTAAAATAAGAAACTGTTGTATACATGAGTGTTCTTATCTAAAAAAAGATATAATGTAGTAGTGGATTTAGTTAACATGTTTGAAAGTTTTGTAGGTAAATGTTGTTATTTATTAACTGTTAAGTAGAACCAATAATCAGCACACATTTCCAAACAACGGTAAACTTAAACCAAAAATGCAAACAAAATTAGCAAAACATGAGGTAAACAGACATTTTAAAAATTGCAATTTTCAATTGGCAAAATTATTATGAAAAGAAAGTCAATCATTTTTCAATAATGAGCATTATGCATAGTGTAACTGGAGTGTCTAAAAAAGATTATATATATATATATATATATATATATATATATATATATATATATATATATATATATATATATATATGTAAAGAAATCTTTGCTGATTACGTACAATGCCTGTGACATGGCTTGTTGCAACTAACTTAGTGTTTCTCTTTACAGGTTGTTCAGCACAAAGCCTGGACAATCTAAGTATGTATCTTGTCATATGCTACAGGGGTAGAAATTCAATTTTAATTTAATTAAAGTTATCAGTAATTTTTTTTTTTTTTTTTTTTTTTATTTTTTTTTTTTTTTTAATGCGTTTATTCACTCAAAGAAAAAAAATAAAATATACATATATGATGAAATATTTAAACAGATAATCAAAGATTGAATGCATGTAAAACAATGCTGATGATAATTACGGTAATTAAATACTAATAGATAAATAAAAAGAANCTATTATCCACTTACTCACCTCATTTAAACACAAACATACACTCACGCAATATACTACATATAAGAAAACGTACATGGGAGAGCGTTCAGTTTTGTGCGACAATTGGTTTTATGTGCAAAATTAAAGCAAGAGGAAAATGGAAAAAGGAGGAATAAAGTTCATGCTCAAGCGTTTCTTATCTTTAAATTAATATCATCGTGCAGGTCAAATTTCACCCTTTTTGTGCTGTCTTTCGGCCGACCATAAACTGACCCATTAAAGTACCATGCTTGATCAATTTCAGGGTGGTTGACGAGGCGCTGGATAAGTTGCGCGTTCTTTTTTGTGACGTCATCTGCCAGTCTCAAGTTTTGCCTCGAGGTTTTCATTGCCCTTCTGCACCTCATGATTTTGGCTTTTGTCTCCGTGTTATTCACTCGTAAAATTATAGGTCTCGGTTGTTGTGTTTTTGCCCCAGGTATACGATGTACTGCTAGAATGTCATCATCCCGGAGTGTTATCTGTGCTACTTCCTTCAATGTGTCGCGTACGACGGACTTGGTGTTCTCCTTTGTCTCTTCCTTTATCCCGTAGATTTTAATATTGTTCTTACGTGAATACTGTTCGTTGTAGTTTGATCGTTTGTCCGCCTCAAGACTCAGTTTTGTGAGATCTTTTATCTCCTCTTTCAATTTAAGTAAATCTTTGTCTTTCCTTGCAATGTTTTCTGTAAGGTTTTTATTTTCAAATTCCAGGAAGTCTAATTTCTCTCGCATATTGTTGATTTGTGAACCCATTTCTTTTTTCATTTCTTTTAACATTTCTGTAACTAAGGTGGTTACTAGTTCTTTCAGTTCGTCTTTGTTTATCATGTCTTTCATATAAGATTTTATTTCTTCTAGTTCCGCTAAGATAATGCTGCTATTTTCTTCAGCCCTTGTATTGGAGACTTCGCTGTGCGTACGTTTGGGTGTAGGCTCACCCTTTTTAGTGTTTTTTGTGTGTTTGGATGACATGCTGAAAGGTTGACAACACTGCGTGAAATTTAATGTAGTCAGTATGTATCATCCACTATGCGACGTTCGCGCAGACTATGTCTATGTGATAAGGTTAAAAATATCAGTTATTCACCTTATTTGTACATTCTCCACCCGATCAACTCGTTCACGAATGTACACTTGTTCAGAATGTACCACATCAGACGTTGGGTTCACTTGTCTATGTCAAGAAAGACCAATTTATGTCCCGTGTCCTAGAGTTCGTGTCAACCTCTACGCCATCTTGTACAGGATCACCTAAAGTTATCAGTAATACAATATGATTATTTTGGGGTTCAAATAGCAAGGGACTAACCAGGACCAGAAATATCATACACTGTTTCATTTTATATTTATTCTCAGACAGGGTGATGTGCATGGATGAATTTAGAGGGATGCTTAGGTTGTGGGAATTACTCTTCAATATCAAACTTCTCAGCCATACCTGTGCCATGATGTTTGTCATCAGTGAGTTGTTTGAAAATTGAGAGTAATTATTATAGGCAGTGCACTGTTAAAATCTTGGAATATATAAAATGACACATACTAGATCTATCACTGTTTATGATGTGAATGTTTCCACACCAAACCTTCCCAATTTGAAGTTTACCACATTATGATAACTGCTAGTATGCTGCAGAAGCACTTGTCTAGCATGTGGGCTTACAGAAAGTCTTACCCAACACTGACAACTGATATAATATGATTACCCTCTGAATTTCTATTCCTGTGTGCTTCTGTAATAATTTCACACATGGTTGCCAATGTTAGCAAATTAAAATGCAGGACAAGTCTGAAAAATGACACAAAATGGCACATTACTTCGTAACGTGAATAGATAAAGGGGCATCACCATGTAAGACAGCTGTCACAGTCACATACATTTTTCAGCGAAGTTGTTATCAATGTGGGATGAGACATGTGATCAAAATGCTGGACATTTCCTGCATAACCATGGCCACTTGGCAACTGTGTGTCATATCATAAGTCTTGTATGGTATTTTATTTATGACAAAGGGGGCAGTTTCAGCAGGGCTACAGAAATGACCCAGAAATTACATTTGATGTTAATTCCACACACAACCTTACTCTTATCTTTGGTGTGGCTCTGTATTGCTCCTATTTTAGATGTAGTTACACATTGGTTATGTGTTGGGTAATGATTATTTTATACCCACTGTTAATAAATATATCTTATGATAGAAATTGCTTCTGTTTATATTTAGTTTGCTTCAAGTGGTTTTTTGATAAACATACTATAATATAATGGTTTTGAGTTTATTAAAATTTATTTATCTATAGATAAAATAAAATAATTATAGAAGTCATGGATTCTGACAGTGATCCCCACAGTTGAGCTATTACCAGGATACAAATGTGATTTGTAAGATTAATTTGTCTGTGCTACATAGAACCCTTTGTTGTTGATCCTTCACTGAATGCTAATTGCTGTTTATGGATTCTAATGAGGACTACAGTATAACCTTATAGCTTGTTTTCCTTGGTAAAGGGTCATTCCACTGAATTTTCCCCTGTACCGTCTTCTACAATTTTTTTTTCTTTTTGTCTTTTCATATCCTAAAACATTCCAAAAATAATGTTGAACCAAATTTGTAGGAATAAAGTTGCAGAAATTATTTAGCTTAGAAAAAATGTTTCTGGAATGGCCCAAAAGAGAAAATGAAAGAAGGGTTTGTGTTGTTATAAAGAAGATTATTGCCTGCTTCAGAATTATTTATCAGAATGATAGTGAATTTTAAAAATATGATTTTTATAGGCTCCAGTTGCAAACAAATCTTAGCTGGGCATGGAATTTGGCTTTCATTGCCAAGTTTTTAGAAATGTTTCACACACTGACATATATGTATCTGGTTGAAGTTATGGTTATCAATCAAATATGCTTACTTTAAATAGAAAAAAGAATTGCCTTCTTTAACTTACGATGCTATTAAATATAGTAAATGTTGAATCCTGTTTGGAACTGTTACCCAAGCTGTTGTAACATGCTTGTGTTTGTTGATATTTGTATTCTTTCCATAATCCTTACTTACTATATAGCTATGTTTTAATGATGGGAAGAACAAGTTCACACAATTTAGTAAATAATTACCAACCATTTATAGACAGGGGTTAGCATGTATTTCTGTGTTTCAATGTGAACACACATTCTGTTTTCTGCAAGACATTTTGAAGCTTAATTAAAGATGCTTTTTTTTTTCACTCCAGATCGCACCAACAGTTGTCAGACGTTTGATTCGCTGGATCTTGCGCGGTATTCTGATGATGGAGAGAGACAGACAGAAGATAAAGTAGCTGGTAGGTATGAAAGGGCTTACTGGCATATTTATTTCTTCAAAATGAAAAAGAGAAACATATATATAGTATAATTATACCAATTGCTTAAATTTGTTGCTATGAATAATGTTGGCAATTTTTAAAATTTAGAAGTGTTTGTCTGTTTGGGATGTAGATCATATTTTTTCATCACATGCGCAGATAAACACCAGAAAAAAAAAAGATGGAAGTCAAGCTTGGTTGTAGGATGGGTAATGCAGAGCTCAAAATTTTATGATGATGGGTAGTTTTCAAAAATTTAAAATAATCTGCTCTTAGCAGTATCAGAAAAAATTCGCATTTGCCATTGAATTTTATTTTTTATTAAAATATCCCATTGTTTGAAAAATGGGATAATTTGTCATTATTCACCAATTTAAAGATTTATCTTTTTTACATTTGGAAGGAATTAAATATTTTGCATCCTAGTATAAACAAGACATTTTCCGTAAAGAAACATCTTTTACAGTGAAAAGAAATCACTTAATGTTTGATGACCTCAAATTATTTGAATGCTTGAATATATTATTATAACAGAGCAATTCTTGTTACTTTCCAGTATTAGAGTTTGAATTAAGGAAAGCACAAGACACAATTAAATCCCTCAGATCACAGTTAACAGGTGCTACAGGTAAGTCTGCTCACGTTTTAGAAAAAAATTACAGCATGAGCCATATTTCTTTTGTCTGTCTGTCATACATTTTCCTGTTCCACCCACCCAGTACAAAGCTGTTGATAAGGATCTGCCTTGTGACAGATGTTGCATGTTAAATTTGCTGAACTTTAACAGTTATTACTTAATAAATTCAAACAAAATAGTGCAAGAATATAATTCCCAACATATAGGTTTTTTATATCAAATTCATTGAAAGCAAATGATTGAATTATTTTGAAATGCAGTTTAATTTAAAACAGTGCATTTTAGTCACTGGCCAATCTAAATGATGATTGAAAAAATAAACTTGAGCAGAATAAATGAGGAGGTTAAATTTTTGGATAATTTTTGTTCTCTTGATTATATATTTAAATAGTTATGTTAGATGTGGTATAGCAGCCCAAAGTAATATGTAAAAATAAGTGATAGTTCACAGTTGAATTTTGCTGACAAAGTTAATGTGCACTAAGTGCATGGGGACTCTTGCTGAATGAAATCAGATTAACAGACTGACACACCCCTCCTCTTGTTTCCAATGTACTCCTATAATTGCCAGCTTTTGTATATTCTACTCAACATCAGAGAAGTGTGTCTTTCAGATTGCATTCAGCGAGAATCCTCGTGGAGTTAGTGCACATTTGCTATGTTGACAAAAGTCATTGTGAACGGTCCATAGGGAAAACTTATCAGATGTAAACAGTTGTGGGCAGGCCACACCTTTCTCTGCTGTGACATGATTTACGATCTTCCAGGATTGCCATAGAGCATGAAATATCCAACAGTTGACAGAATGGATTTATTTGATTTCTTGTCATTACTTTGTTAAAATAATTTATGACATGGCTCAAAAATTAATTGACTAAAAAGGTGCAAATTAGCAAAACACTCAGTTTTAAACACAAGCACGTTTATTTAGATACTTTCTGGATGTTGATTACAGTGAATGATAAAGATGAATAAACTTTTGTTTTTATTTTTTTAGAAAATGTGTCAGCACCAGAGAGGACCGAGGATCCCCATGAAACTTTGTCAGGGGAGGGCCAGATCAAGCCGCATGAGAAGAGAGCACTTAATTTTCTCGTCAATGAATATCTACTACTGCATGACTACAAACTCACCTCTGTTACTTTCTCAGAGGAAAATGAAAACCAGGTACTAACTTTTTAATGAATTTTTTCTTTATCAGATATCTTTTACGATGTTCCCTTGTATTAATAATAATACTAATGACAATAGTTTGATGTTATTATTAATGCATCAACTGACATATGTTATCCTCTCATGGGAGAATGAAAACCAGATACTAAACATTTGACATAAAACATATTTGATATTTGTAACATTTGTTATCATTCATGGTCTTTTAGTAATAAAATTTAATTAAGCAGATGGCACACATTTCTAGGTATGTTTAGCACATTGCATTATGTCTTGGGACCTGTATGAAACTTATCAAGAGAATCAATAGCTACCTTAATTGCAATCCTGTCAAATATATATTTAATACTGCTGTTTTGTGATATGATAGATACATTGATCCAACATGCCTGTTTATTGCTCTACTTTCCATTTGTAAATTAGTAAAAAGGTTCCGTCTGCCATTTACTATATACGTGGAATCTGATGCCACAGCATATATATAAATATGACATATTACTTAGGAGCTACATTTATCATATCATATCATATCATATATATTCTTCTGGGGCTATATTTTATCTTATATTATGGGTTGTAAGTGAGACTCCTACCCTTATTACCATTAGCTTTAAAAAACATACACATTGACGTGATCTATCTGAACCAGCACCTTTGTTTAATCACATTGAATTGGTATAATAGGTAATGTGTTCATTTGTTGGATTCCAGTATAATGAAAAGTGGCCTGCAAAACTGATAAGGCTCCATTTGGCATTTACAGCCAGCATTAGCGTCAACTGATATCTTGACATTTTATTGACTTTTTCAAGTTACTGTGAATTCTATCCCTCTTTGTGCCCATTTGATCTACATGCTCTGCCACAGTAATGTTGATCTACATTAGTTATTATTCTGTCTCATAGCATCCATGTATTCAGTTTACTCCTGTCTTCTGTAAATGCATTAGTGTAATGGGTACATATTGTAGGGCAGGGGTCGAAACAGACGGTCGCCCACTCGCCAATGCGACTTAGAAACGTCCCGGGCGACTACCTGTCAGGGGTACTGGTCCGTTTTGGCGACCGCTGAAAAGTGCCGAACATCGTTGCCAAACCCACAGTCTGCGACGTTAAGCACTAGCCCGAGGCAATTGCCCACCTATAGTGGCACCGGGCTAGTAAAAAAGATGAAATTTTATAAACCACTAGCTGTAATTTTGAACCTATTTTAACACTCAGTAAGATTTCAAAAATATGAGTCGCCAGTCTTCTTTCTCCCTGCCTCTAATTTGACGTTTCTAGATAGTATGATATGCCTCTCAGTTGAAAAAAACTCACACCTAGCTCAAACTACTGAATATTGATTAGTTGCTATAAATAACTTCACTGTAGTTATTAATAGTAGCAGTCTGTCTGATCAGCGTGTCAGCATCTTTTTATTTGACCAGTTTGTTGTCATGACGACAAATTGCTGTCAATCAAGAAACTGGATCAGACCGGAATTCTTTGGTACTAGCAACAGGTTCTTTGTCAAAACAACACTGTCTCCGAAGCAAGTGTAATGTATGCGTTATCTCATAGAACATTTAGGTTAGGACCACTTAGCAGACTGAGGGGTGGAGTATTCTATTTCCTTTTTTGTTTATATTTTTTATTTATAATTTTAATGTCTATGAGTAAATACATGGCAGTTACATAAATACCCTATGAACTATTCTTGACAATGTGGGATAGTTCAGTTTATGCCATGGCTACCCCTCCACACTTTGTCCTGGTAAAGTCCTTGAAAAGTTGTTTTTACAAATATATAACCAAAAGAATTGTTACCACAAAAAATTGTAAGACGTTTGTTTAATTACCCTTACAGCACCTATGTATTTTAAATTAGAAGAGGCATTATATACCGATGTAATTGGAAATAAATTGTCAGAAAAGAACCATTGTCAATAAAAAGAAAAGGAATTAAAAAAACATTTTGATTGCATATAAAAAATGGAAAAAAAGATAATAAAAATATGAAAAGTAAGGGTAACTATATTCAGTATTACAAATTTAAAAAAATAATTTTTTCAATATTAAAAGAATTAAATATGTTTTTAATTAATTTTACCACCCCATCAACTGGAAATTAACCTGATTGACTTTGTTATTCACTTGCTCTACTTCTATAATAAGGTTTATAAGAAAGTACAGTATGGTACCAGAACTCTTTACAGCATCTGCTTAAACTTTTTAAATGAATTATTTAAATTGGGCTAGTGTTTTTTGGTTCGGGCTAGTAAAGTTTGAGAGAAGTTTTTTCGTTTCGCGTTCAACCCCAGCAATTAAAATTAAATTAAATTTTTAAGATTAAAATATGGATATATGTAGAAGTTATATTTATTTCATAATAATTTTTATATATCCATTTTATTTTTTATATATTATGATAATGATGAGCTAGCAGAGGAGGATGTGTACAAACAGTTAAAGGAACTGACTAGAATATGAATGTGTTTAGATAATCATATAGAAATAAAAATGGATGTTAAACATGTATTCATTTACATTATATCTAGTAGCTTGAAACTACTAATTTTTAACGTAAAATTTTACGGACCAGTACTTCTTGGTACGGACCAGTACCTCTAAGGTCCACTGGTCCGTATTGGCCAGTCCTGCCCAAATTCTGTTTTGACCCCTGTAGGGGATGATAAAATGTGGAATACAAGCTGCAATGTTGAAAAAAAAACTTCTCTAGAAGTTATAAGTGATGTTGTACAAAAATTTAACCCAAACAAATTATATAACCTCAGGAATTTAGATTTTATATTGGAAATTGAATTTTAAAACCGTACCCAGATGGAATTATAGATTTCCTTTTTTTGGTAAGATGATTTAAGACATGCTATTGTCTAGCTTCCAGATATTTTGCAACTATACACCAGCTTGCATTACACCATTATATAGCAAAATAATAATAACAATATTGATAATAATAAAAAGATTATTGAAATGTCAGAGCAGTCAAGATATACCCTATCCAAATCATGAATTTACAATCTGTAAACACTCTGCTTTTAAATTTTAGATTATTACCATCACAAGTAAAATTCATTGGCTTCTTCAGCCATTAGAATGGGGACCAAAAACTAAAAAATGTAAAGCTTATAAAATTAGTAGGTTTAGGGATCATAATTCTATGAACATTTCAGGAAAATGACAGCTTTGTTAGTTACAGTCCAAGGGCTCTTTCCCTATGAAACTACCATTCTACATAGATGATCCAACTTCTCGTTTCCAATGTACCCATATCATCACCAGTTTGTTTGTATTCTACTCAATGTCAGGAGGAGGCATGTTAATAAGTTAAACTGATTGCATTCAGCGAGAGTCCCTTCAGAGCTGGATCAAGCCATGTAGAATGATAATTTACATTCGGTATGAGCCCAAATGCTTATTGCATGCCTTAAGCTATTATTTGTGTTCTATCAGGATTTTGAAGACTGGGATGATGTTGGGTTGAACATTCCAAAGCCTCCAGACATCTTGCATCTGTACCGCGACTACGGCAACCATGTCATACCTGTGGTGGAGAAAGAAAACTTCCAGTGCATGGTGAACTTTGACCAGGAAGTGATGATACAGAAAGAAGAAGAGTACGGAAATTTAAAAGATATGATGGTATGGGTCTGTGTTTTAATGAAGATGATGAGATTGAAATTAAGATAATTTTTTAAAATCAAAAAATGCATATTGCTCAATGTACTTAAATTATTGAAGGTATAATAAGCTTAAAAGGGGGTATATATTTGTTTGTTGGGTGAAAAAATGCTATGAATATGGAAAAATCATGCTCCTTGTAATATTCAGTTGTATTCTTCTCATAATTTCAAGCATATATCTATATTTGAATTATCTAGGAATCCAGAATACAGGAACTAGATGAACGTGTACGGCAGTTAGTGCAAGAAAATGAAGCTCTAGCAGATGAAATAAAAAATATGGAAAGGTGATGAAAATGCCGTCTTTTAAATGTAAAGTACTATATTTATGAAAATAACTCATTTATTTTCAGAAAGAATTTATAGATTTATAATGTTAATTTTAAGCAAACATTTATAGATTTAAATGTTGACATTAAACATTGACCTTTGACTTCTGACCTATTTTAGGCCTCCAGAGCCACTGTCCTCCACGCCCACATTGTCACGAAAGAAACCAGCCAATCATCAAGAGCTTAACATGAGCCATGTAACAGAGGATGCAGAACAAAAAGAAAGTGATAATCACAACTTTGACAAACAATTTACCAATGACATTAAAGAAGAAAAAGAAGAGAAAGAAACAACAGACAATGAAAATGTAAGGTTGAATGAGACAAGCGATTTGGTTGGACCAAGCTCAGTTTGTGCAGAGGCAGGCTCAGAACTGCCCTCTGTGAATGTTACAGAGCAGGACTCTGTATTGAGAGGGTCAGAGACCAGAGAGACGGGAGACGGGATGGAAAGAATAGTGATTGGGGAGAAAGCATTTACTTGGCAACATTCCGATAGGTGAGTTACAGGATGACATTGCATATATTATAACTGAAAAGATGCCAGCTTGAGAATAACCTTGGCTGTGAGAAGTGGACCTATATTGGATCAACACAGGATTTTAAATTGGCCACATGTATATCATTAGTGTGTCTTGATGGACATGTATAAAAATGAATTAATAAGTCGAAAAAGCAATGAATACAGTGAAATATATATTTGGAAACATAGTTTTATACAGTGAGAAGTACTATAAACTCATCAGTCAGAGTATCGGCTCCTGATCATGACTAACCTTGTATGTAGAGAACTTCAGTATTGTATGTTATGCATACCAAGCTGATGAACCTCTAGTTCAAGACATAGTCAAGTAAAAGACAATTACAATTTTGGCCTTGAACTTTGTCGCAAAGAAATGAACCGTTTCAGCACATGTACTGAGTGATAGTGTGGCCCTATATTTCATTTCAGGAAGATGTCTGAGAGTTTTAGAAGAGCTTTGTTGGAAATGGCATTCCATGTTTCCCAAGACAATAGAATAGTATCAGAGGTAAGGTGAAACATACCCACAGCACATGAGACAGAATTGTTTGTTATGTACCTGTAACTCACTGTTTATATATATATATATATATATATATATATATATATATATATATATATATATATATATATATATATATATATATATATATATATATATATATTTTTTTTTTTTTTCAATTTAATTAAAAAAGAAAAATATTTTTAATATATCTTTCGTTAGAAA